TTTCAGATGGGTACTGCGCCCACTTGCTTTAATGCTTGGAAGATCACTGTCATCTATACGTCATCTTTACTTCTATTATTTAAGAAATATAGACTGAAGAGCAGGTGTTATATTGACAAGTACACTCCACATGGCTATACAAGAGAGTCAGGGGTTCGAAAGCGTTTGTACCTAGCCCTAAGGGGTCATTGTCAATATCACACCTGCTCTGAGGTATATATTACAATTCAAACATGAAAACTCCCCAAAATTTTTCGAATATTCAACTTATGGTCTGCCATTACTACAGCCCTCTTGATGTCACAAATTACTCTTATTACCAAGGGTAGTGTTGACATATATACCCTGAGTAAAATGTTGACTTTGTTCACAGTTTATAGAAGGCGTGAATACAGTCATGTTCAAATATAATTTATATAAACCATTTCTCATAAATATGTTTAGTAGTATAGTTTTTACACGAGGTGAGGGTGGGGAAGTGGTTTCAGACCTAGGAGGGAGCTCTACTCCCTCCCAACTATTCTGTTACTACTCCCATCTAGGGCCTGGCATAATATATGCAGCCTTCATACCTTCGCTAGATGAAGTAAGTGCCAGGCTTTGAAGGGGCAGGATAGCCCATTTTAAAAAGATGGAGCACCATATTGAGTCCCAGCTGAATGACTCTCAAATCTGCAAGTGTTTAGTGGTATTTTCTCTTGAGAGATTGTTGATATATCAATATCATGCAATAAATCACAAGAATGGAAATGATCAGACTATGAGAAGGCTCATCTATAGTTGTTATTATTGTACTCATAGCATCTTTCTGTCTCACCTGAAGGGCTGTGAAGAAATAAAAGTTCATGGTTTATCATGATGATCACTAGAAAGGATATGGCATTTCCCACCTGCTACAAAGTAGATTTTTTCTTGCCATATTCTGGTCTTATTCAATTAAGTGTAACTGGTATAGTTACTTCTTGTTTGCATCCTTATTCATGAACTCATTCCAATCTTAAGGGACTCATGTATTTCTACATTTGATAAGGTGATGTGCAACCACCCACTTCTTCTCCTATCAGGTTCGTTTATAGAATTTTGGATTTAATTATCACATAATCACTCTGCTGTTAGAAGTATCTTGAAAAACATGTATTTTCTGCCAGCCCCAGAAACAAAACAACCCATCAGAGAATCCATGAAATTTAGTATGATATTTCCTTAGGGCCCATATGAGCCCAGAGAGTAATATTGTCACAAGGAATAAACACATTTTCAATCCATCTCTCATGTGCATTTTAAAGACTACATATCTTTCATTTATAAGTCCTTCAATCAATGTGTTAGGATAAGCACAGAATACAGCAAAGTGTAGTGCTGGACTGCAAACAAAAGAAGACTGATTAATATAATAAAAAACATTTATGTTAAGCCACAATGTCTTACACCAGCAAAACCACATAAACCAATTGAAATAGAAGTTTAGACCCCATAAAACAATCAAAGACTATGAAGGAACCGACATCAGTCTTCTTCCCCTTGTCAAGAGCTTACTACAAAGCACTTATCGTGCATATGGCCCATATTGTAAACCCTGACATTCCAGCAGAAGATGGACATGGATGGAAACTGAATGACTCCACCATTGCATTGGGTATTGACTGGTCTTCTCAGACAAATGATTGTTGATATAGCAACAGGAGATGAATCAGAAAGACTCTAGAAGATGTATCTTATGAAATCCAGAACTCTGAAGATGAAATTGATACTTAATGCTGACTTGTTCCCCCCACCCCTCCGAATTCTGTTACTACCCCCATCCCATACAATAACTATATACAGTATATTGAGATAACTAAGAAGACCCAGAAAATACTCTATGAAGAAGTCCAAAAGAAAGAATTTATTCCTAAGGCTGATTAACTCTGCCCCCTCCCAATTCTGTTACTAACCTCACCCCTCCTCATGCAATAACCATTGCACTGAGTTGTACATTATTTACCAGAAAATATAAAGTATAATCAAAGAAGTCCAATGTAAATGTATCTCAAGTCATGTTTAACTCTGTTTTTATAGAGAATAGCAATCATCTACTCTAGTATGGGGGCGACACCCACTTTTGATTACTTGTGTAATTGTATGTTCTTTGACACTGACCAATCATGTAAGTTGTAATATCCCATATACTGAGATGAATATGAAGAAGACCCATGCAGAAGATGTACCCCATGAAATCCAGATATATGTAGATGAGATTTATACTTAAGGCTGATTAGCTCTGCCTCCTCCCAATTCTTTTAATAGCCCCCCCCCCCCTTTGTACCCCCCCCCCCCATGCAATAACTATGACACTTAGATGTACATTATTTACCAGAAATGCTTGATATAAAATATAATCAAATAAGTCTAGTGTAAATGTATCTCAAAAGTCAAGTTAAACTCTATTTTTATAGAGTATAGCAATCATTTACTATTATGGGGGCGACGCCCACTTTTGATCACTAATGTAGTAGTATGGTCTTTGACACTTACCAATTATATAAATTGCAATATCCTTTATGCTTAAACAAATGCTTGAACTTCCCTGGCCATTTTGGGTGTGCTAAAATATTCTTATATCTGTTGATTTGAAAAATAATCCTCATTCTATATTATGTACCTGTACAGGTTTGGCCAAAATTAAGGATTTTTCAATGAAAATTGTGGTTTCCATGGCAACCATGAGTGACAGGTGATTGAACCTTAACATACTACCTCAGCATGATCCAATCTACTCCCCATAAAATTATTATGATGATTGAAGACCATCTGAAGGATTTATTCAATGATGATAAAGTACCCCCTGTAATTTTCCATTTTAGGGTCGAAAACGCCAATTTGACAACTTTCGCCCCGGATACGGCGCGTCAGACAAACATTTTCTGAAGTAGCACATAAAAATACATAAGAAACAAGTAATTTTAATTTGTTCACGAACTAATACATTTTTGGGTGCTAGCTTACTACCTATCTGTATATGAAAGTGTTATCTGTAAAAGATCACACCATACACCATAGTCGCACATGGTTGGACAATTGTTAAGGTGATATTATAATGCATTGAGCACGTAGGCACATCTAAAAATACATAAATCTTCGTTTTACAATAGATCTCCATACCCCTTTCTCTCTATATTATTCAGGTAACTCCACTCTGAGTAATAGAGAGAGGGGGTACAACATCTTTAAGCAACAATCATACTCTGATTGTGATCTCCCCAGCATTAAAGCAAGTGGGTGCAGCACCCACCTGAAATTTTAAAACTAGATAATGGCAACTCCGCAGAGTAGCAAATCCCAACGAACAAAATATCAATTACCGAATTCCAATCAATTATACTCATTTCTTTGGTTAAAATTGAAAAATTTAGATTTTAGAATTGCGAATTCCTGCAAAGCAACCATTTGGAATTTTCTGAGGTACAAATCTGAAAAATAATACAGTATTGTGATCTACTCCAAAATTCCTTCAATTTGAGTATTATATAGCCAGTAACGTTGAAGGGATCAAAATGTTATTGCGAAATCGTACATTAGACGGCCATTTTGAATTTTACGAGGCTTGAATCAGAAAAACGATATAATATTTGCAATTTACTCTTAATTGCCTTTCATTTGAGTATAAAATAGCTATACTTCAGAAAGATCTAAAAATTAGTGAAAATTTCTGTTTTCCTGACCCCCCATACACGGCCCCTGGGGGTCAGGATGAAAAACACGGAATATATGTGAAATAGATAGATGTTGCGAATATACTACCAAAATTTCAAACAATAATATTAATTACTTTGGTTTAGAATGAAAAATTTATGATTTTTACGAAAAAGTCCCGTCATTTTTAAAGCGGCGGCCATCTTGAAAAAATCTTTTTTGCGTAAAATTATTCATCAATATACATCTTTCCACCAAATATGAAGAAAATCCGTCAACTAATATTTGAGTGATCTTCCGGACGGACGGATGGAGGGCTTCACTATATCCCTACCGAACTTCGTTCGTTGGGATAAATAGGCTTGCAGTGCACCCACCTGAAAATCCATTTGCACCCACTTGAAAATGAGTAAAATCATGAAAAATGGGCTAATTTCGACCAATTTTGGTTTTAATTGTTGAAATGAGAATTTTGCACCCACTTGAGAAAATATCTTGTGGAGATCACAGAATCAATATTTAATATTTCATCAATTATAACACTACAGTTTATGATGCACAATGAAATGTGAAACATATTCTTCACAGCCTTTGAACCTAAAGTTACAGACTGAACAAAGGAAATCGCTACTGAGGTCATGCAGGCCTCTGTGTGTTACATAACTTTTAGAATCTGTGAAGACCATGCTACAAGCATCACAACGGAAGATTTCCTTTCTCTGTTTCAAAATATGAAGAATGCTCTCTGCATTGATTTTACCATCTTTCAAAAAACTTGAGACAATTTCTGAGTATTTTATATGTTCACCCTGTGTTGAATGCTTCACATGTTTTCCATTTTGAGGATGTTTCCCATTTTGAGGATGTTTCCCATTTTTAGATTGATTCACATTTTGAGATTGTTTCACATTTTGAGAACTTTCTGTGTTCCCTGAGTCTCTCAACTTATTATGCATATTATTTGGCAAGCGTTTTGCCTCACACGATGTATTTGAGCCATGGGCCATAGTCTCAGCTGACCCTTTTGAAGTAGTTGAACGATAAAATGCATCTAATTGTTTTGTGACAATATCATGAGATGAATCGTGATAAGATTCGTTATTGTCAATGCTGTGCTCGCCGAAAATATGTTTCTCCATGTGAACTTGTAGAATTTCTTCACTGCTGAATTGCCACCCACATTCTGAACAAACATGTGTTAAACAGTCCGGATGTGTTTGTTTATGAGCTCGAAAAATCACCAAATCATTAAAATCTCGGCCACAAATATGACAATGGAAAAGCTTGGGGTCCTTTGAATTTGAATTTTTGACTTTAGGTTGTGTCACCTTTTGTCTTGGCTTTGGAGATATATGTTTTGGGGTAATATATTTTTGGGCATTTCTTGAAGTGGGTTCCAGGGTTTTGTCAGAGCCATCAATGCTAAATTTAGGGGTGGAGTGTTTTATAAATGAAAGTGGTACAGCAGGGGTATCAGACAATATAGAGGTTTTAGGTGGGTGTGGGATAATAGGAGATATAATACTAGAGTTTGGTGTTTCTTTGCGCACACGTACAACAACTATATTACTATCTCTTCCACTAAGTTCTTCATGTTTTGCCCTTTCCACATAGCTTCCACTTCTTTTATGGTCTAGTGGATGAACAGTTTCATTTACTTTGCCAGATGAAGACTCGAGTAATACCAGTGTGTCATCAAAGTCAATCTCACTATTGACATCATCAGCACCTTCTGAGCCTACATCATCAACCTCAATGCTTTCTTCATGGTTTGTGTCAATTGTATCTTCAACATTTGGTTCACCAAAATGACTTGTAAAATTTTTCATCTTTTGGTCACTAACAGTGTGGTCCTCCGATGTGTAATTCCTAGTGCCAATCTTGATTCCAAAACCATTATCATCTTTAAGTATATGCCTGCCATTGTAAAAGTCTACATCATCCTCATCAATTACACCGACATTTTCATTTTTCTGTAATTTTGGATAATCAACTTCACTTTCCTTATCACATGTGATGTAATATTTTGGAGTACCCTGTAGTATTGGGTCTCCCTGATATGTTGTATCTGATGTTTCAGAAACTTGGTAACTAGGGAGAGTAACACTACTTGTATTGTCCGTAATACAGTCATTATCTAAAATGCAATCAGCCTCATCACCATGGTTATCATCTCCTTTGTTGTTGGTGTTGCCCTCTTTAAGGTAAGCAGCTTCATTGTCATGTAAATCATGAAAGGAAATAGGTGGAGGGGTTTGGTTTGATTTTTTGTCTTCCAAACTGTTTATGAATAAAGTTGAAGGGATAGTTTCAGTTTTTTGGAGTTCCAAATTAGGACTTGGCAAATGTAAGGGTGGAGTGGATTTGCACTCATGGAGTTCAAACACTGACACTACAGGTGGCGGTGGGGTCATAGCATCATCCTGCATATTTTCAATTTTCGTTCTATTTTGTACTCTTGAAGTTTGGCCACTATGATTCTCAAATTCTTTCAGTAAATCATCAGATATGTTCAACATTTCTCCAGAATTATTGAGTATTTCATCAGTTATATTGAGTATATCTGTGTCTGTCATGATGGCAGATTGAGCCTTGGTAGTTTCTGCTTCAAATAGTTCACTCTGTTTAGTACTAATTTCAGAGATTTCATCAGTAGAGGAGTCAAGCCCTGGTTGGCTAACAGTACTTGCATCAAGTTCATCAGGCATTGTTTTGGTGTTTTCTTCAATATGGTAAGCATCAATGTTGGAAACATTGCTGTTCTTAAGAGCATCTCCATTTTTCAGATCATTATTTGCATCAATTAAGACACTGTCATTGGGATCACTGTCATATTGTTCTTGATCAGGTTCTGTCTCCATGGCCATAGATTTAACCTGATGGTTCAAATCAAGGGCTTCACTGAATGTACATTCCGGGTGAGCTGTACTCACATGATTCTTAAACTGTCCCCACATACGACAATAAACGCCACATTTGTTGCATTTATATGGCATCACACGCAGATGCAGCCTTGTGTGTTTGTTACAAGATATCATATCTCTGAAGACCCTATTACAGATATGACATTTATGTCCTTTAGAGCTGGGAGTTTTTTCTACTTTAACATTCTTGTTTTTTCTCTCAGCTTCTACTTGACTTGGATTTCCAATTTGATTGATAGATTTTGGGGATTTTATACTATTTGTACGATTTAAAGGAGAACTTCCTCGGCTTATTTTCAAAGTTTGAGTTTTTGTGTTCTTGTGTTGCTTTTTAGACATCACCGATTTTTTGATCATGTTCATCTTTTTTAAATGCAAGCGCACATGCATTTGATAAGTATCATTGTTATCAAACTGTTCATTACAGAACTTACAAATGGTAGTCACTGTTTTCACATTGTCCTTTGATGTTACACACAATGGTTTTCCATTGTGAATAAGTTCATGCTTTAGAAGTAACGAATTCTGACTAAAACTCCTGCTACATAACTTACAAGAATATTTTAGATTTTGTTTATTTTCTTTCGTTTGATGACTTTTGGTGTCGATTCGTTTTACTTTTTCTGGACTTTTGAGCTTTTGCTTTACTAGCACAGTAGCAGTCTCTTTGTCAAATGTTCTTTTCGATTCCATTGTGAATTTATGGTTGATCCATTCTTTATTCTCCTTTTAGATTTGTTTAGTGCGTCACATTGGCCTTACAGCAAGCATTTCTCCAAAAGCCCTTGACATGGACACTGCAAAACATACGTATATCAGTTATGTCAATTAAGGATGCGGTAAAGTTGATCAAAAGTACAAAAAAATGGCAGTCATATTTTTAATAAATAGATGCTCGGATGTTAGCATTTTATTTAGCCCTCGTTAAATGAACGAACAAACATTCCATTTTCACACATATTCGGTAATATACACGTATCATAACTTCTGGAAATGACAAGGCAGTCGGAAAATTTTTGGGAATTTTTCAGTTCGTTTACATTTCTTGTATAACTGTACTTATTGTTGATCAGATAGAAAGATAAGCTGATGTAGTTACACTGGAGTTTGTTTACTACCATTTGGAAGGCACATGAGGGTCCCATTCATCAGGTAACACTTATATGTCGAAGTTAAGTACTTGCTTTTTTCAAGGTGTCCTCTGCCGAAGGCAGCGCAAAGTAGGAGCGTAGCGGCTACTTTGCGAGAGACCTTGAACCATTGATCACATTTGCTCCTGTAATTATTCACTTCTTCACCTCTTTAAACCCTGACTTAAATCAGTTGATCAAATTTTCGGACATAGACCTCAAATTCAAACATTAATATTTTTTACAAAAAATACTGACTCATTATTATATTTTTAAAAGTCTTTCAAATGAAGTGAAATGACTGAATGAAGCCTAAATCAGCTAAAATTATGCAATGTCGTAAAATGGCGTGACTGGAATATGATGCAATCACCCGTTACGTGAGACACGCATTGCCACATCAACAACTAAACAAACAATAATAGATGATTGGTTTAATGCTTAAATGTTTAAAGATTCTTTGCATCACTTGTGACGTCATAAACATGTTACCCAACCAACAACTAAACAAATAAGCATATAGGTTCGTTCAGTGCCATGCGGATGAAATTCCATGAAATGAGGACCAAGTGATTTAACAGTTGAAGAACGGTTATGTCTGCCATTTGTGACAACTGTATCTGACTTTACCGTAGTCAGGCTATACCGATGTGTAATTATTTCCATGATTAGCAAATATGCTTTCCTAGATCTTACATTAATACAGAAATTTATTGAATAAAGTTCAGTCATAAACAGGGATAATCAACAGATGCAAGACAGGGTCAGGCAACTTTTTGACTTGGAGACCTCGACTCGAGGAGTTTGCTGCATTTTCCACAATGCTATCTATTGCAAGACTTATGCCTGGCACAACTGTCACCATGTTATTTTAGTGTTTTTCAGTTTCGCAAGGATCCTGCCATGACCGTGGTAGCGTTATTGTGAAAGCCTGGTATAACTGTGACAATGTTATACCATATTGCAAGGCCTGTCATGACCATGGTAATGTTAAAGCCTGATATGACCGTGACAATGTTTACGCTCTTAAATGAGATTAGAATTATAGTTTGTGGAAATGAATTATGAGTTAGTATTAGAAGTCTAGATTTACAAAAGGTGGATTAACGATGAAATTTTTCATTACAATACTCTCATGCTACTAAATATAATTTAATATAACTATTGTCACGGTCATTCTGTGCTTTAACATTACCACAGTCATGACAGGCCTTGCAACCATTGTTGCCGTCATATCAGGCTTTAGCATTACGACGGATATGTCAGGCCTTGCAACCACTGTCACAGTCATGTCAGGCTTAAAATAACATTACCAAGGTCATGACAGGCCTTGCAATAATGTATAGCATTGTAGTGTTGTCGCGATGTGCCATAATCGTACATCGATGCATCGGCAATTTTCAGTAGTAAACATCGATGCACATCGCGATGGACATCGAGAAAAAGTCCGGGAAAAGTGCGCTGAAATACCGAACGCTAATGCACTAAAATACCGAACAGAACAAATTAATAAGAGTACGTTGGTTCATCCGGAAACTTCTAGTAACGGTGAAATGAAAGTAAAGTAATTTTTTCTAGATTAATGGTTTATTTCGACTTGCTAAAACAGTTTTAAAGCGAAAGAATATCAGAAAACATTGGAAAATGAAATAAGACATGAGAAAGGTAAGCGATTTGCGTGAAAATAAGATAAGAAAGGGTGATTTTTAGCAAATTAATTTTTTTTTAAAACATCGATGTTTTGTTTCAGACATCGATGCATCGCCAGAATCAGCTTTGGCGATGTATATCGCGATGTATCGATTAATCGCGACAACACTATAGCATTGTCACGGTTATCAGGCTTCAACATTACCAAGGTCATGACAGGCCTTGCAATATAATATAATATAGCACTGTCACGGTTATATCAGGCTTTCATGATAACACTACCACGGTCATGGCAGGATCCTTGCAAAACTTAAAAACATTTCATAACATGGTGACGGTTGTGCCAGGCATAAGTCTTGCAACAGATAAGGTCTCGTATTTTCTTGTTTTAACATGAAACCAGGAGTACAGATCATAGTCAGCACCATCTATCTAATATCTAACATAATATGTCCAGTTTATTAACTGAATAATGAAGATTGATGGTGCTCACTGTGGTCCAGGACTGTGGTACAGGTCTAGAGTCCATTTCACTGTTTAATTGCATCAGTAAAAACTAAAAAATGAGAAATCAAAATATCATTATGCAATAATATATGGAAAAATATATTCCTATTGTACATGAATGACATTTGTATATCTTTGATTGCTTCTAGTTTGGCTTATAAAGTGTGTGGCCTCTTATATTTGGATGCTTCTCTGCCATGTTATTTCCAATAAGATTAACATGGCTGAAATTCTAAAAACTAAAATTCTGAAATATACAAATGTCATTCATGTACATTATGAATATACTTTTCCATGTATTATTGCACAATGGTCTCCCAATTTCTTATTTTTGGGCTTCTACGCAATGAAACAGTGAAATGGACTCTGTAAAAATAAATAAAAAAGTAGGTTATCTTCGTTCTACAATGTTTACTTACATATTTTTATAAAACTTGATCGATAGTTGCTTTATATCCCGTGACGTTTTGAAATCAATAAACTGTGAACAGATGTATTGCGATATGTTTATATAATTCAAATTGTTGCAAAAAATCTGATCAAAACACAAATTTGTGGCTGACATTTATAATTAATAGACACGGACTGACTAGCCTAGAGTTTCTTATTTTCTGACTTGTCGTCTGTAATAAAGCGTATATATTTACTATTCTTTTGCATAGTAGCGTTCATTTAAATAAATAAAAAGGAATTCTAGAAATAAAATGTTACTTTAAACTGGCCCATAATTTGAATTTTTGAATATAATATTCTGGCACACTGGCAGTTCCCCGTGCCAATAATTTTACAACTCAAACATGTACATTTACCTGATTTGCTTAATGTTTCTCTTGTTATGTCTTTTAATTTATCGTTTACATATATCTGTATCTTCTTGTCGATCAACTCTTCAATTCCACTTATTTATGATGTTATTCATGTTTTTATGCGATAAATTTTACAACTTCAAATGTTTTTAATTTCTTATCACGCCATGACGTTTTATAAGCTTTCAGGTCATTGGTCAATAGTTTCGCAGCAGGTTATTGTAACATGAGTGTTGATTGGATGAATTTTGTGGCGGCTATTTTGAAGTCGCCTCTCACTGTTGCGATAATTCTGGGGCTTGTCTTTGCGTTCTCTGACTAGACAAGGTATTTTTCTTTCTTGCATATTTTTTCTATAACTTTCATTTATAAACCTCAATTAGAACATCATTATTATCAACGTTTTATATCTTTAATAAAAGTAAATAGCTATGATGACATTTAAATCTCTCTTTTGTTGCAAATGTTTTGCGTGACTCATGTCTCCTATTCTTTGTATTAGTCCACGGGACCAGGGCAGCTGCTTCTATTCTATGACATGCAATGTCTTACATTCCCAATTCCCCATTTTAGAATGAGTATATTGTAGGCCTATTAGCTTTCTTTACTCAATCTTGCGAGCTCATTCCATTATTCCAGTTTTTAGAACGGGCATAGCTTGCTTCGCCCGAGTCTACATGGCGTGCCTTGCAATGCCTATCCATATTACCCCTTTCTCTCTATTAACTTCCACATTCCCATTAGACTTTCCGCACTGTTCCCGGGACCGTTCATTTTTCATAACCATTACTAATTATAATTTCCCCAATAAATAAATATTACTTCCTCAACCTCCAACCCATTCCATTCACCATTAGGTGTTAATTGCTTGCATCACCTCATTTCATGTGTGGATGTTTGCATGCATCATCCAGTATAATATAATATATTTGAGTGTTAGCTTGCTTCACTCTTCTTCTCAGTCATTGAACGTAAGCGTGCTTCGTTCTTTGATTTAGCTAAGTTTCACACGTCGCCGAGCCACTGATCATGGCTAATTCACATAACCAATTTATCATTAATCGCGATCTTAGTCCATGATTTTTACTTAATATTTCAATCAAATATAATCAATTTTAATCAATCATTTATTCCGGGTTGTGACTCGTTTATCAGTAATTGTCATTGGTGACCACACAAGGGCCCGTGCACTCACCCATGTTAGGCTTAATGGCAACTATTACTTATACTTGATTTACAACTGGATAATAATAAACACAACTAATCATTACATGTTGTAACCAATTAAATTCTCATCAATCGCAATCATTGATACACACTACCTCTACTACAATTTAGACGTCTCCACACACTACCTTCACTCACTACCTTCCAACAATCATATTTCTCAGGGTGTTCAAAAAAAACGCAACCCAAAGAAATCGCTATATCTTGAAAAATACTGTTTCAATTATATTCATATTTTCAGGTAATAAAGAAGAGACTGTGTATGTATAGCCCCTGTAGATGGTTAGTTGTAAAACATGATGCCTTGGACACCTGCTCAAAAGACAGTTGTACTAGGAAAATACGAAAAACACAAGTCAGGCGTGACTGCAACCTCAAAAAATTAAATAACTTTCTAACCATAGTGTTTTGGCTCTTCAAATTTGGCACACATCATCTTCATTCACTGTATGGTAAATCTGTAGAGTGAAATCAAAATCACTTCAGGGACTTTACAGTTATGGTTGAAATGCTTTCAAATCGCAGTCAATTGCCCTGGTTCAGGGAGACTTAAGAAGGCATTTTGACCAGGACTGTAAAGTCCCTGGAGTGATTTTGATGAAAGTCCACAAATTCACCACACATTGAGTGAGGATAATTTGTGCCAAATCTGAAGTGCCAAAACACCATGGTTAGAAAGTTATTTGGTTTTATTGCTGTGGCAGTCACTTCTGACTGCATTTTCATATTTTCCTAGAACAACTGTCATTTGAGCAGGTGTCCAAGGCATCATGTTTTACAACTTATTGACAACAGGAGCTATACATACACAGTCTCTTCTTTCTTTTCCTGAAAAAATGAACATAATTGAATAAGTATTTACCAAGATATAGTGATTTTCCATTCGCGTTTTTTGTATTTTGCTAGTACAACTGTCTTTTGAGCAAGTGTCCAAGACATCATGTTTTACAACTAACTAACAACAGGGGCTATACATACACAGTCTTTTCTTTCTTTCCTGAAAATATGAACATAATTGAATGAGTATTTTCCTTGGGTTGCGTTTTTTTTTGAACACCCTGTACTTTGTTTGTAAAAATGCCAGCCATGCCTGTTCGATGGGATTTGCTACGCTTTGGCGTTGCTGTTGTCTAGTTTTCAAAAGCTTTCAGTTTTCAATCTCTGAAGCCTTACAATGAAGTTGAGGAAAAAAACAGGGTTGCCAAAGATAAACCTATCTATATTTAAAGGTGAAACTCCTAGAGGTTCATTTTTGAGTTTTGGGGTATTCCCATCACTTATTTTTAAATTGGAAGATACGTTTGAAAAATTGCTTTATCTGTGCAAAAAGAACATAAAAGAGATAAAACTTTCTAAAATTTGCCACCATTTTACAATACTTTTTACTAAACCTGTCACCTGGGGATTGTGGACATCAAGACATCAACATGTTTGGACGTTTATTTTGTTTCAATTCAGCCATATTAAAGTCAGTAATACACACTATAACAACAAGGTTTTCCTTTCAATTCAATGGTTTATTGTTTCATTTAAGAATCCAAGTATAGTACAATACATTATGGCCAAATGGTTGGCTGTTCACAGGATGCATGAAGAGTGGGCAGTTCATACCTATGATAACGTTTAGAAAAAAGCTGCTCTGTTCTTCAATTTTATCATAAGAATGAGATCTGATATTCTTAAGAATAGCAGAGGGCAGTCTTTTTATTTCCAACACCATAATCATAATAGTAGATTCTCTTGTACAAGTATCACACAGGCTTTATTCAATGTCATTAGAATTGAAGTGTCCATGATTACAAAATGTCTATAATCAGATAATGTATCAGTCTATTGTGGTTTCTTTATAATTGGCTTCAACCCTCGACTCATCTGAAAATATGATAATCATGTATCAAGTAAAATTACATGTTTTATTAAATATGATTATGATGTCCAATGCTGCTTTAAAGAAAACAACCAATATTTGTAAACTGATCACATTTAATATGAGAAAAAATTAATGATCATCAAAAATTGTTGCTAAGTAATTCTATCTGTTAATTTTCAAAAAAACGTTCATTCCAGACCAAGTTTGAACAATTCTTTGATACTACACAATAATTTTAAGTGGGAAGATTATTGAAATCATTCAACAAACCATCTCATTCAACTAACTAACCTCCTCAAACTTGTGAATCTGTCTAATAAAGAAGTCTCCATAGCGACGGGCTACTTTGGTGTCAGCGATATGAATCATGTCCTAAAAAGGAGATCATTTGTACTAGAATGAATTAAAAAATGTATTTAACGAACTAATGACTTATTTTTACATTATAATCAGAAAATGACTTGAAACGCAATTAATATTGTACACCACTTGGATAAACACTAAAATTCAATACATTCTTTCAATGCACTTGAAATTTTAGATGGTGTCAATCATACATCCATAATTCTGTCTTGATTTCAGATATCAAAATCTTATTATAGTTTTCTTGAAAAAAGAATCATTGGATCAATTCTTGTTTCTTAGAAATGAATGACGTTTCTATAATTTTTCTTATTGAACCATGGGATTGATTGCCTCCATTGATTAACGGAACAATTTAATGAAAAAATCTGAAGGGTGATTGACCCATGAAACAACACTTACCCCATCAATGTAGAAATCCACTTCTGAGGCAGACTGGAACTCTCCCTTCAAGCCACTGGTGCCCTGGGTCCAAACAATATTCTTCATCTTATGTTTGAAGCACATCAGATGAGTTCTTAGCTCATCTTCAGTCTGTAACCATAGCAACAGTAACCATTACATTAGAAGCAAATACAAAGAATAATAATTAAAAGTAAACTATTATGTTTTATCCTCAATCTGTTTTTAGCTAACAGGTGAAATATTGGAACCAAATAGGGAAACAACTATTTGAACAGGCATATAAATGTTATGATAACCCATGAGAAAAATCTTACCGTGTCCATGAATGCAGCAAGCTTTGAGATGGGTAGGGTGGTATAGAGTTTCAGGTAGCTTCTCACTGTAGTCAACAAAGATTGTTGGGCTACTTCATCAAGGAACACTTTCAGTTGAAGGGCATAAGGCTCCTGAAGAAGTTCAACAAGACCCAGTGATAAAAAGCACTTTTTAACAAAAAATTCAAAATGGCTGCCAAGTGATTTAACAGCAGTGCCTGCATAAAACTTAATCAGATCTTGGCACTAGTCTTATTTACTAATTTTTCCATGGAGGCTTGATGTTTGCACTCGTTAATACAAGTATAAGACATATGTATTTACAAAAAATGGTTTTACAACATACCTTGTGATAGTTAGTCTGCCCAGCTTCGTAATTTGGTGGTACAGGGGAGAGAAACTTGGGGCAGGCATATGCGAAACTGTTCTCAAATTCGGCCATTTCACCTTTCTGCATACGCAGCATACGATCACCAAACTTCTCACGGAGCTGTGAGTGGACACTCTCATCTATCCTCATTGGGTGAAGAGTCAGGCAGATTGCCAGGAGAGTGTACATCTGTTCATTTTGTTTATTGATCTAAATTAGGCAAAAAAGAATGAATATTAAATGTAAATAAATTAGAAATTTTTTCAAGCATATGAATGATGCTCATGGAAACTATGCCATCTCTGGGGCTCTTGATAACATGTAATTTGTGCTCCTCAGTTTTATATGATATTTGTCTCCACATCTGCTGAAAATGATTGTCATGTTCCGCAAAAGTTAATCAGGGGCTTCATCAATAGCAAGCAGCCGTTTCCATGTTAAAATTATAATTTCCAATAATTTTCCCGTTGTTTTCATTCATTCATTCTGCATTCCGGTTTTCAAAAATTCTACTGAAACCCGTCATGTTTCCTAAATTCCTTTTAATTGGTTCCCAATATACAATTTCAATCAATTTCTGTAAACTTTGGATATCTGAGTTTTTAATTAAAAATATTTCAACAAAAAAATTACAAGGCATTAACATAATAAATGTCACCACATGCCATTTGTTACAGACACCCACTGAACACTGACCATAAAAAAGTTTAAGACTATGACAATATGTCACCACCTCAGGTGGTAACATAAAGAGGACTCTGTCATCCTCACTTGTAAATATTTAGCCTAAAATTGAATAAATGAAGCTAAAAAAAGGGATAAAAAAACAAAACACCAGACCCAAAATTAAAATTTATGGAGAATTACTAAAAAAAATCTAAAATAAAGACCACACCCAAAACACTGCCTATTCCTTACTTGATGTTGACTATACTCAGTCATACCAAATAAAATCTACAATCGTGACACAACATAACATGTTTACATGCAATCTGTACTTATGTTGTTAAAAGAGTAAATTGAGGGGTGCAAAGTAATTGTCAAATCAAAATGCTTTATTTACACCTTCAACTGGCTTTCATACAACCCATTTTTCTGATAATGTTACTGGACCTTTTATTAATGGAAAACTTTCTCAATAAATAAATAAATATCATGCTGGAAAAGTACATGCTGAAAAAATGTAAACCATTTGATATTCAAAAGCACCTCACCTGGTCATAGAGATTGACTTTATTCTGGAACATTTGCTTGGTGCGCTGTATGTACAACAAGATGTTAGAAAGGGTTCTAATGGCATCCTGGTAGCGGCGCATCATCATGTAGGCAAACCCGACATAGTAGAAAGTTGTAATCTGACATGCGGGTACTCGAGAGTACATGTTCTGAAGTAAAAAAGGGGAGATATTTCAAACAGTATTAAATTCTCATTGAGGCAGAATTTTGGTACACAATTAGTTAGTCTATAGAATCCCCCATTCGCTTTGTCTGTCCATCAGTGTGCCTTAAGCCCTCCCTTCAATCAATAGTTTTTGAACAAGTAATGCTCACACCTATTTAATGCTAATCCAAAATGGTAATTCATACCTTAAATCCCAGTTCCAATTTTTGCCACATTCATGAGAAATAAGCTGTTTTCACCATTTGAGTCCTTTATACAATTGAAATGACTGTACACTTATTTCAACATAAATGTTAAACTAGCCAATGATGGGAAAAATAAACAAATGACACATTTTGAAAACCATTTCTTAATCTTGGAATGGATATCAAATGAATAATTCACAAAAACTGAAATGTGTGTATTTAGGATTAACAAACATCCATGTGTATTTGATGAAATTACTCCTATTAAGATCCAAACTCTTACCTTTTTGTTAAAATCAATGTTTTCCAGAACTTTCAATGCCTGGTAGTAGTCGCCTAGCAATGAGTGTAACCGTAGCAACCCTACTAAACTGAAGTATCCCAACATCTTGTAGAGGGAATGACGGCCAAAGTCTCCAGCAACACTATCTGGGTCACCTTGAAACATGTAAACAATATTCATAAAACATTTTGCACATATTGGTACAGTCGGCTTATTAACAGTGGAATGATAAGAATTGAAACAAGACAACCGGGTCAAATTCTAATTTACTCAACAAAATGGCAGCCTAAAATGTAATAAGATTTTCGTACTAAGAAGTGTTTCTAAAAATTTCAAATAAATCCAATTCAAACAGTTTACCTTTGAAAATCACAAGATGTGAGACTGCTCACCAAGCAAATTGACAACAAAGAGCACTCTAGGGTGCAATTAAAAAGGTGTGCATATAAAACATATGATTGCATAAATAATCCAATATACCTCCACTTGTATAGATCTCTAGTTGTTTGTTGATGCTGGACTTATCAACCAGAGAGTGGAGTACATTCAGCACACTGTGTACATTCCAGATCTAAAAACAATAAAAACAAAAATGTCATGATATGTTTACATTCATTGCTCATTTAAAAGTTTGAGTGATAACTCCCATTCTGGAACAGGTGTGCAGTGGATTCTGAAAAAATGGGCTGTCAAATTTGCTACCTTGTGAATAAATACCCCTACTCGGGTAGCAATAATAGCTCATGGTTAAATTTCAAAAATCTCTACTCCAAGGATCAAGCATTATATCAAACTTCCACCACCTCAAAAATAGCTACCATGGTCTTTCTTACAAGTATGAATGTTAAATTAAGTCCAGCCCTAATTACTCAGATGCGAGTAGGTAGTTACCAGTTTCGCCACCAGGTGGCTGATTCGGGGGAAATAACATGGCAGGGTATTACAAAATTCCCTTAAACTTGAATATGCATCAGTTTTAGTGGTTCACTTTTCCAATTACCCTTATGTATGTGATAGTTATACAAATTAAAATATGTCCAGTAAAAGAAAATATTATCTGCCCAACACAAGAAAAGATATTTCACTTTTTGTGGTTTTACAACATGGCCTCTATGGGGAATCTCCCCGACCTAGAAGTCACATTTTTAAAGAAAATAAAATTTTCAAAGTTTATAAACTCTTTTCAAAACCACATTTCTAAATGTAGATTTACATGTAGATTCCAAATATGACATCAGTTTGACTGAATTGTGAATTTTTAATGACGTAAATCAAGATTATTTCCACTCGCATCTGGGATATTGTGGAAAATCCAGTGTACATGAACAATTTTGTTTTAAATTACCTTGGGGAAACCAAGGAACTATGACCATGAAGCAAATGCCAACCATTTATTTTGGCAGAAAATGGACTGCACATGAACAGTTATGTTTTTACTTTGCATAATTCATGTTACCTTGGGGTTGTCCCTGAGTACAAGGATCTCATTCTCCGTCTTTTTCTGGAGCTTGCATCTATACTGGATGAAAGATTGGAACTGGAAGTAGAAAATGAAATGTAACAGATAACAGAAATATAATACCCGATTCATAAACAAGTTCAAGGTCAATTTAGTATTTCACCTCAGTAATATGGTTCATCACTACATTTCCACGTATGTTTAAATGATCATTTATGTTCACATATCAGCTACATAGAGTCTTGATTTAGTGGCCAAATAAACATGGAAGAATTCATCAGAACATTTTATGCCTCAGACACTCCATATATTGCTGTGATGCAGTGTGAAAATAGCATGGGTTGAATCTAACTTTTTGTTTTTGGATAAAAAATTGTTTAACATCAAATTTTAACAAAATGCTTTTTATAGCTGTTGTTATAGTAACACTCTCGTGATTAGAGGTAAATAAATATACATTACAATACAATAGATCAGGTCAAATAATATAAAAAGATTTTGAATTTTCAATTTCAATTTTCACTTAAACTGATTGTCATTGGGATAAAATGTCTCAGATATGACTTTAATGCTCCTCCTCCCTTTGTAAATGTTATTTCACCAAAAATGTTTTGACCATTTTTCTTACCTGGTATATGAACTCATCTATGATATCCCACAGCCATTGGTTAGGTAGCTCAAGAGGTACTGGACCCTCAGCATCTAGAAATCAAATATAACATTCACATATCTCACTAATCTGAACATGTCAAATTCCATTACATATGTGATTAACCCGGGTAGGTTAAACTGAAGAGTGTATGACATTTAATTTAGATATTCAGACTTGCATGATGTAACATAAATGAGCCAGGCCACAGGAAAATGGGTCTTATCACAGATTTTTTCAATATTCTGATTTTTTGTTTATCTTAAAAAGCACAAAAAAACTTTCAAATGAGCCATGGCTTATGTCCTAACAATTTTTCCTTGCATATATAGACCAAAAATTCGGATCTGAATTGAGCACATTTTCCTCTTAACATTTTGCCTCTGTAGCACAATTTTAATTTTTGTGATAAGACTGGTTTTCCTATGGCCAGGCTCAATGCGTTATTCATTAATAAGACATTCATCTCTTTCTCATGAGCTTAACTTCATCTACTGTACTCTTAAAAGTAGAGGCAATTCCTTCATCTTCCAAGTTCACAGTACAAATACCACAAAGGCTACATCAGCATCAACACTGTAAAATCCTCTGCATTAGTGAAAGGCTTGAGTGGCTTAATGAATCTGATCTAAACCTTTAAAATCATCTGCATTAGTCAGAGGCTTGTGAGGCTTAATGATTCTGATCCAAAACTTTAAATTCCTCTGCATTAGTCAGAGGCTTGTGAGGCTTAATGAATCTGATCCAGGGTAGAAATCAACTTACTGAGGATATAGTTGAAGAGATTGCAGTAATTGTAGTAAGACTCAAACCTCTGCTCCTGAGTTGGACCACTCTGAAAAGTTAAATGGGTTATGTTAACTGAATTTATCCTGAGGGAAATATTATTTATACACCCAAGAATTCAAAATGTTTCATAAGGTTTATCTTTACTGGGTGTAGGGAGAATAATATTAATACATTTATTTACTCAGATTGAAAAGTTTATAAAGGTTATGTTTGATGGTTTTATCCAGAGGGAAATACCATTTATCTATCCAAAACTTTAGTTTGGGATTGACTTCTAAACATTTTGGACCAGAAAATACAAAATCGAAATTCAAGCAAGTTGGCACCATGCTATTTATAAACTGTTCATGAAAAATTCAGCTGGTCCCGATAAGAATAGAACAAACTGAACTTGTGCTTTACTAAAAGCAATACACTGATTCAGAGCTAATCCCCAGCTGTTTATGACAATAAATACAAAAGGCACTATGATGCAAAATGTCACCCCTGCCATTTGTTACAGATGCTGAACTCCAACCTCTGTCATAAAAAGTTTGAGACTATAATTTTAATGCTATAATTTTTTACTTACTGGTAAATAATAATTATTCACTTACTGGTACTCTAGCGTATATGTGTCTGTAGTAAAGCTCTTTGTAAAGTATCAGAAACAGGTGGTCTACAAAAGAATGAATTAAAGGTACAGTATTAAAAAAAATCTCTTCTCAAACACACTACTGATATTTGGCCATGCTTTTTTCACTTTAATACTACTATATGAATAGTTCATTCTTCGAAGGTTTATCTCATAACAATTCTAGCAAAGAGGCACCAAAAATAGAGTGAATGATTTATTTTATCATTTACAGTTATATTTACTTTTCTCTGATTGGGTAAGTCCAAATAAGGACATTTAAATGTTGGTATTGTTCATAAATCACCAACTTTTACAGAGAATTATATTGATATCTATGTTAAACCAACTTGGCAATTTTTCAGATTTTTTCTTATTTTCAAACTTTTTTTAAACCATTGCTGTGCAAAATTGAGATATTCAATAAAAGAGAGGGGTAATCACCATTCTGCACAATAGGTGCCACTGCCTCAGCTTCAGGCCAGGGTGTGGTTTTGAAAAATCTGTCTGTCAATTTGTTGAAGCTGAAAATACATGTGTAATCAATAAAAAAAATCAATACCATTGTGGTAATACAATTCAAGTCATAAATGAGTGAGTGTTAAATATGAAAGAGTGTACTATGGCGGTAAAACATTAAAATATGAGTTATTGACTGCTAAACCAGTTCCTAGTTTCACTTAATGGAGACTCAAGTGCGTGATTATTGCAATAGATTACAGTGCCAGTATCCTCCAGTCTCTTTTTCAATGTTGTGAGAATGCTGTCTTTATATTTATTAAATCTATGCCTAAGATGACAGGTAATTCGATATATGGCCCATACATCAATGTCACCAAGGCACATATACTGTGGGGAGATACTTTGGCCCATGGGAATGCAAAAGATTCTCAGCTTTTCCTGACAAGCTTCACTCACCCACTTTCATAAGAGTTCTGTATTTCATAAACATGACCTTCTTGGATGTTCTTCCTAAAGTATGTCAGGAAGTTCTTTATCACCTCAGGTATAATGTAGGTGTGTTGCTGTTGTTGACGTTCATATTCCAAATCTGCTCTTGGGTCGCCTAATAAAGATATATATGGTTTAACTTAAACAGGTATTTCTATATTGCAATGAATTAAAAACTGGATGAGTGTACTGCACTGTTTATTTAAATAACTTATCATGAAAACAGTTTGCTTTATTCGATGGCCAAGCTCAAAGGCAGAGTCGGATTAAGTTAACAACCTTTCTAAATTGCAAAAAAATGTTTTATTTTGGGCTAGTACCATTTCCTTGCCATGCCTATTCCCAAAAATGGAAAAATGTCCCAGGAAATCTAACTTAACATATTATTTCCGAAGATTTATGTTTTAGAGATAGTCACTTACTTTATCCTTTCTTTTACCAGACATTGATATTTTGGGAGATAATTTCAGATGGTAAAGAATTTATAGGAGGTTTAGTCAACTTACTGGTCACACTCTATATGTGATTCTGAATTGAAAATATATACATTTTGTTTAATATTTCAATTTTCGCCAGTTCTTTAAAATTTGTATATTTAAATAATGCCTTTCCAGACATACCTGTGTGCATGGAGTAGTCCTCGTAGCTGTTAAAGGCATACGGATCTGTGAACTGAAAAAATAAAAAGAATGTTTAGCACTCACACGAGCCAAGGGTATCACTTTTAGTCTAAATAATAAAGAAAAAATTATCCAACACGACTCACTCCAGCCTTGTTGGTTTTGGTCAAATAATATTGCAAATATCAGATTCTTGTCATCTCAAAACAACAATGAAGTATATCATTGCTGGATAGATAGATAATGTGTATGGAAACATGATATAAAATACATCCTGATGCATCCTAGATAAATAAACTGTTTTAAAATCAAGTGTTAACATTGGGATGAGATTTCTTTAGGCTAGATTGTGGGAAACACATTTCCGACCTGTCTGTCTTACCAAAGTGCAACACATCATAGAATTTACTTTGAGCGTCTTTGAGCATGCACAATATCAAAGAGATAAAAAGTTAAATGAAATTTAAATGTAAAACAGACTTACTCCTTCATTCATTCCATTTTGTTTTGATATAGCCTACTTTATTTTGAGCATGCAATGCATGCACCTAGTTAGTCACTTTAAACTAGTGGCGTAGATAAGTGCTCACAGGCCCGTAGCCAGGATTTGCCAAGGGGGGTTCACTTTTTGAAAAATTCCAGGGGGGTTCACTTTTGACAATTTTGGTCAAAAAAATGGCCAAAATCACTTAAAAAGCGCTCAGCATGGTGAAAAACTGCATGATTTTGAAAGAATTTTTGGCCAGGGGGGGATTCACCAGAAACCATTTGAACCCCGGATTAATCCGCTCTCGCATTGACGGGTTAAACTATATTTTCCCAGTGAGATGGCGGTGCAATCTTTGATTACATGTTAGTCAAATCATACCCATCATTCATTTGTCATTTAGACACAATATCTATGTCTGGGTCTGAATTATGCATAGTAAAGTAAATATAGATATGCAATTTTAAATTGATGAGTCCCGAAATAAGTGCACACGTGTTTAAACTCAAAACTTCAAGAATTCATGAAAAAGTAAGTCTTTTAACATTTCATTTCTTATTTTTGGATATTACAGCGAATAAACAAGAGAAAAATCAGTGACAGTAGGTGATAATAGGTCACTGAATTTTCTTGAAAAATAACATGTGACTCTATTGAGGATTGCATCAAAATTCCGAACATGCAGTTTGACCTTAAAGACACGCCTAGTATTTAATTGTAGTTATTGACATAGTATGATGATTTAAACTACTTAGACTGTCAAAGTCTAAAATGTCACCAGCGACCAGACTGTCATATTTTCAGAGGTCTGATTGTAATTCATGGATAATGGGAAGTTCTCCATTAAATACTGAATACTTCAGGATTAGCATCTTGAATCAGAAAAACAGGCTCCGCCCTGAGATGTCGTTATTCACTGACATTACAACTGGCAACAAATTCTATACTTTTGAAAGGTTCGGGTTCATACCTTTATCCCAATCCCCTGTTATGTGTTTTGAATTTTTTAGTTTTGGAGTAAGACCAAATCTTGCTATTTAAAATCTGAAGCAGGAAAAATATTCAAAATGGCAGCATTTGAATCTTTAATTACGGCATCCTTTAGATCGGCCTATTCACTCACGACAGGTGGAGTGAGTTTCAAAAGCAATATTTCAGATTTGGTTCATTATTTGACCGATGAAGCCAGTTTGAGGTGAGAAAAAATTATATTTCTCATTGAAGTGTTCCTCACTGAAGGTGTTCCAGGAGAATCAAGTGAACAGAACAAGTCAAAAATAATTTTTAAATTTTCCCTAGGCCTATTTTTTTCAAATTTCATTCAGCACTTGAAGGGTAACCTATAGATTTACTTCGGTCCAAAGCCTTCTCTATATTCCGGCTTTGAGTAGAAAGATTGAGCGGCCTTTGTATTGTAAATCATTGTGTCACACGCACCGTAAATACGGCATAATAATATGAAATATACCTCTATGTATAGATTTGATGTACAGCTCCGTCTGACTCTATTGTTATATTTGATTTCTTAAGCGAGAATAATTTCAAAGTTTCCTCCATTTATTCATGTCCGGAACCGGAAGCCATTTTATAGCTACAGCGAGAAATTTTCACCATGTGTCAAGCCCCGAAAAGAAATTTTGAAATATCTAAATCCAGACAAGCAACGCTTCATCCTAAATATAATTAATATTCTTAAAATTATTTATAAAATTTATTAAAAATGATTTCTAGCTGCGTGTAGCAAATTTTACATATGAAATACGAGTACATACGAAATCAATGAAGTTACATCTACTAGAGACTCGAGTAACTATAGATAACATGGGGGCTTCTGTTCACTATGGTATAATTCTTATTTCAAAATGCAAGTGTTTCTGTTTCTCTTACAACAGTGAGCCTTATCATATAACTGGTAGGTGGAAGCAACAAACGTGAGAAAAGGTCAGATTGAAAGACATAAATTTTGATGGTCAAATCAGAGATAAAAGATCCGAGGTCGGAGATAAAAAAACCGGCAAAATTAGCCAAGAGAATTTAGCAAGAAATTGTGGTAACATCGAGCGAAATTAATGATAAACTAGGTAAATAACTTACCTCGCCTTCAACAAAATCCTCACTCTCCCGGTAGCTCATCTTGTAGAGCTTAGATTATGAAAAATGTGGGCTTTTTCTGAAAAAACGTGAAGACCGGAAGTACATTGGTTGATTTCCGGTTGCGCAGAAGTCACTGCGCATGAGAGGAAAGAGGGAAAGCTCCCGGCATACCTTATAACACCACTCCACTATGCCAGCCTGGGTATGCCAGTATCTGGTTAATTTGTTTTTAGTGGTCTTTGAACGTCACAACACAACACAACTCCAATATGAGGATAATCTGGATCCGAACCATTGCACAAATCTTGATTATTCCTCTTAGAGCCTGTGTTTTAAAATTTATTCGGGCGGCCACAGTCAGGGCATGGCCAAACTACAATTATACAAACTACAATGACATTTAAAAAATATGCAGTTTAATTAATCCAAGGATCGGAGATATTGTGTTGTGAATGTGATGGGCCTGGTTGCAATGCCCTCAGCTCACGTGGCGGGGTACCTTTTTTACCTTTGGTAGGCCTATGGCAATGGGCCCTTTTAAGATCTGCTATGAAAATGCCCCCCCCCCCCCCAACTGAAATTGGAATGAGGACTTTTGAGATACGACAATGGTCGGCTTTCCCACTTTCTGTTGAGAATGTTACCTCTCATTTTTGGTATGACTTAAAGGTGCAATAATTAGTGCAGAGGGGTCATTCAACGATCATGGACCAGTGTCAAAATATATTTAAGTTTGGATATTTCATCAAGACTAACATCTATTTTTATTATCTACAAAGAAACCCCCGAGATAAACATTATTTTAGCTGATATTCCTCTTGAAACATGGTGGATCTTAAAAATATAAAAGTGGAAGTCCCCTTTTTGAAACTTCTGAATTTACACTTCTTAATGCTGAAATTGATAATTTATCCATACATTTTAAGAAAATAGGTATGTCAAAGAAGTTGTTAAATCAAATGTTGCCTTGATAGCTCAGAAAAAATGAAAAAAAAATCTTATTTTCTCTACAGTCCTTAATGCCCCTTTAAACTTTGGTCTTGTAGTTACACATATCCTCAACATGAAGTTGTTTTGGATCGTTTTCCTTAAATACATGCATTCCTCTCGGGGCTTTTTTGAATGGCCTTGGTCTTACATCTGCATTGGTATGACATTGGTCCCTATATTCTATATATATTATAGTAGGCAAATTGGAAAGAATACTAACTGGCTAAGGGAAGCGTGAAAATGTCGCATTTTCGAGGCAATTTTTAGATCAATTCATTATCTTAAAGCCCCCGATAAATCGGGCTACGTATACCGCCGTGTTTACATTAGGGGATTAGAAGAGTTTATTTTTTATTTAGGTATGCAAGCTACGTATATCAATATTAGGCCTTCATTCATGTACTCGTGTGCATGTAATCAGCATGCCCTTCAATATTATGTAAACCAGGCTATTCAAGTATAATGTACACTATTTATGTGTGTACTACATACAATACAATTCCCTGGGAAACAAAACACAAATAAGCCTACGTTTTATATGTTCAAAATGAGCCATTTGATTGATGCAAACACTAAATAGCTTCATAAATAACATTTACAAAGTATATCTAATAGTAATTTTCAATTTCAATGTTGAAACTTCCCTGGTTAAGATTATATGGGAAATCATCACGAGACGAAGATCGTTCACCTTCCTGGCTTACCTCTGAATCGTGTACCGGGCAATCTCTTTATATAGTTTAGCGAGAGCGGTGCGCCTGCGCAGTTTTAAACTTTGGCGCACACTTTAAAGAAATTTAGCCTTTATACAGTAATAATAAAGTCAAACAAACTTGGAGATATTTAACTAGCAATCAACCCATCAGCACACTTTTCACCAAATATGCAATCATTTTTTACAATGTTTAATGCATTACTATTTTTTATTTTGATGAATCATATAGTTCTTGAAAGAAAAACTTAATTGCTTTAAGATAAGTGTTCCCCATGTTTTTTCTCCATTGAAAAATCTCATGCCATCCACTGGTTTCAATTCATTGTGGTCATTCAAATTCAGTATCTTTAAAGTCCCTGGAGCAATCAACTTTCCCTTTAGGAAATCGAACATGTCTTGAAGCACATTCTTATTATGCATTCAACGATATAATAGAAGGTTGCATTTTTGTGAAAATTAGGTCAACATTTTTGAAAAAGTATGTTGATTGGTCCATTGTCCTTTCAATATCACTTAGGTCTGATTAACTAAATTATCATTATATATACTTTTCTTGAAGATAATGAATGGATCTAAAAGATACATCCATGTTCATGATCAGAAAATATATTCATAATTCAAGTTAGGGTCGTTTGAAACTGTTTGCGATAATCTACGTGCTCCTTTTTCCATAAAGCGATTTTTCTGTAGCGACCCCTCAGTTACATGTACGTCCATGTAGAATCAGTTAAATACAAAGAGGATCGACAGCCATGATTCAAATCCGATCCTCCGCGGTTGACTGACATGGACCTTGTACTGAAAGCAAATCAAGCACTTCCATGCGAGTTTGAATATTACAATACTATTCTAGGTTATGTCCATCTCTTGATTAAAACTAAATTTTTGTCAGGTTTGGCTGCAAATTTTCTTTGTTCAGAGATCTTGTCTAGCTACAAGCCCTTGTGACCCCCCCCCCCTCCACTACACACCTCACCTCTGGTGGTGAATGAGATAAAAAGGGGGAGGATACAGAGACTTAGAGCATTTTGCTAAAGATATCACCGCCTACCACAAACAATGCCACCCCCTAATTTTGGAATAACTTTAATTCTCAATAATGGTTAAAGAATCTTCATGATTTTTAGAGAGATTGTTCAATGGAAGAAAGATTGGTATGCTTGCATCAACAACTTGGAATTTTTTCATTATTGAGAACGATTCCAAAGTTGGTGCCATTATTTGTGTCATACTGTCATAACAATATGTCACCACTTGTGCTGTGTGGTGACATAATTACAACAATTGATATGGATTGCAATAAATGTGACTTCTGATTTCAGCATACAACTTAATTACAATTGCAAGGATTTAAATTTTTCACTTATTTTGGTAATCACCATAATTACTCAGATGCGAGTAATTAGTTACCAGTTTAGCCGCCAGGTGGCTGATTCGGGGGAAATAACATGGCAGGGTATTACAAAATTCCCTTAAACTTGAATATTCATCAATTTTAGTGGTTCACTTTTCATATTACCCTCATGTAGGCTATCTGATATCTATCCAAATCAAAATGTGTCCAGTAAAAGAAAATATTATCTGCCCAACACAAGTAAAGATATTTCACTTTTGTGACTTTACAACATGGGGTCTATGGGGAATCTCCCCGACCTAGAAGTCACATTTTCAAAGAAAATTAAATTTTCAAAGTTGATAAACTCTTTTCAACACCACATTTCTTAAACTAATTTTACGTGTAGAATCCAAATATGACATCAGTTTGACTGAATTTTTAATTTTTAATAACGTAAATCATACGTATAATAAAATAATTAACTCTAGAAACGTCAACTTACAACAATTAATTAGACATAAAATATACAATTAATTTTATGTAATAACAGTTTTTTATTTATTAACAGACAAGTGTACATATGCACAACTATGTTTTGTGGTCAATTTAAAATCAAAATTGAGTCTCTTTGAACCTAAATGACATTTAAAATTGACGCTAATTTTGAGCCCAAATTTAACATATGTCTTAAAAATGACCAACAATGTTAATACCAGTATCACATCAGACCACCTTCTGCCAAAGAAGCACATTAATGAAAGAGATGAACTACCATGGCGAAGTGTGGCCGAATCAATGTCCACATGTTGTGTCTAATTGTATTTTTCCTGTCCCTCAATCATGACGTCGATGATGAATTGGTACAGTTTGGTCCAAAGCGCATTGTGGTCATCTGTGAAGGAATCGCCCATCTTTTCTTTCATCAACTCTCGTTGTGATTCACCCAAGAACTGAAAAACAACAGGTGAAATCAGATTTGAATATAGGCCTGATAGATGCGACTATCGCTTATGACAATATGAGCGTTGAATCAGAATAGACGTTTCCGATTCACCGTGTTTGTATGCGCATGCGCAGCAAGGACTTCAATTTGCACACCTAAAAATGGCGAACATGGAATCAGAACATGGGACTATCATTTTTGCCTGACTGACATCTTAGTACTCAACTTCATTTATATTCAATACAATCTTGACACTATCATAAATGGCAGTCACATTGTAGGCCTATGTCATCCTCCGAACTCAGGGCCAGATATCACCTACTTCCTTAGGCAGGAATGAAGGCTGGCCATTGATCTCTGTATTCCGAAATAATCAATAGTTTATTTGAACATTTACTTAAAATAAGCATATCTTAATTCGTTAAAATCAAAGAAGATCTTGCTTCCAATCAACTTACAATAAGTTCTATATACCTATAAGTACCATTGTTACCATTGTGTGTCAGGTATGTTATGTAGGAATTGTATAATGTTTCAATTAAGTTAATAAATTGATCTAAAAAAACTTACAGGGAAGAAGTCACGTGGGATGTTGTAACCATTGGTTCCGTGTCTGCCACCGAGGGTAAGAAGAGATGGGACGATGCTCTCTAGGTTGTCAAGCTTATCGACAACCTCGCCGATCATCTTGGATACCATGGTGATGTGAAGCATGAGACGGGAGGTATCTTGCATTTGTCCTTCGGCTTTGGTAGAGGCGAAGGAGAAAACAGACTGGGTTTCTGGGTACTTTTCGAACATCCTAGAAAAGTAAACCACATTAATAGAGGTCAATAAAAGCAAATGATGATTGAAAAAGTATGGAGGGGATTTCTCTGATATCAACAAGAATGGCAACCTATGTCCTCATGCTTTTTTGAACACCTCGTATGATTTACTTCAAATATACATCCAGTCCTAGTACTGGGATATATTCAACCAAATATAGTACCAGCGTGAAATGGCAAAATGACAAGCAACTATTGAATTCAAAATTCACAAAATTGTAAAATTATTATAAAGTAATGTACATCCACTGGCATTGAAGGTAAAATTTGATCGAAAATGAAATCATTAAACTCGCTACGTCATCTTTTCGAACATACACGACTGCAAAATTTTGGCAGCATCAAAACTCTTATATTGGATCCCATGATAAACCTGTCCATTTTCACAAAGTAAAAAATTCCCGACTTGATGGAAATCAGGATTAAATTATATGTAAAGCAAAGGCAGGCTTTACCAAAATGAGCAGTCACGGTAACCAAATTTTTTAAGAGGGGTGTATAGTGCCTACCTGTAGAACATGTCAAGCCCAGCCTGTGTGGGGCTGGCGCCCATGAAGGTTGTCCAGCTGAGCTTCAACTTTTGCTTCTCGTTGACTGTGAGAACCAGTTTGTCGCTTTTGTTCTGGTAGCGAACTCTCTCGAACAGCCTACAACACAACAGAAATGCATTTAATTGGCGAACGTGCGCAACAATTAACACAATATGGAGTCATTTCACTTAAAGAGTGTCTGATACTTTGCTTTTTGTGCTTCCTAAACTTTGTGCGGGGAAAGGATATCATAATTTAGAAAGATTAATTATGGAAAATTTCAGTGATATAAAGTAAATAACGTAGCTAATGCAATTGCTATTGTTGCTACAGTTTTTCGGTCCCTGTTACCCAGTATTATGAAAAGGGTAGAAATAGTAAAAGTGAATAAACAACGTCAATGAACAAGTTGACTTTTTTCTACACAATAAGGCACAAGTATAAAATGCTACTTACTCGCAAATCATGGTTTCTGATACTTGTCCTAGATCCTGAAATTAAACATCGATATTTATGATATGAAAAACATTTCAAACATAAGCAATAGCATCCAGGAGATGATTTCAATTGGTAATACCAAATTTTGATCGGTAACACCTAAATATTTTTTTTAACTGAATTATCACATTATCACACGTAATAAAATGAATAAATAAAATACGTGTTAAAAGTACACTCCCCTTCATAAATATTTCGTGGTAGCTTATTTTAGAAAATATTGGTATTTCGAAAATTAGTAATGCTTGTTTCAAAACTAATGCTATTTTTAAAACGAAGTCATCACAAATGTTGTATTTTATTTCATAGATAAGGTTTCTGTATTACATGTGCAAATGCAGTCATTAGTTTTGAAACCAATTAAATCAAACATTTTTCTTGTTGAAAATTTTTGAATTGAAATAGTCGAGATTTAACTTACCATGATGAAGATTGGGGTAGGCGATAAGTACGTCTGTCGTCGAAGGCTGCAAGAGGGTGGAATAAGGTGGAAGGAAAAACGGACCCAAAAGTGGATTTCGGAACTACTTTTAAATATTCAATTAATACGGTCAGTGATTCTAAAATATTACTCCGCGATAAGTTGGCAACTTGTTATGATTACTGATTTCGTCTTGTGGCTGTACTCACTGAATCGCTGTTTTAACGAATTATACTGACTGCATGAGTTCACGTCAAGCATCTAATTTTTACTTAATTCACACGGTATTTTTAACCAAATGAGATGGTGACGCTGTGGTTCAATCATCTAATCAAGTTTGAAATAGCTTTAATTGAATCATCTTGAATTATTCAAGTGTGGAAAATAAACTTTTCTGTACTTTGGGATATATGTTTTCATTTGAACAACCCAGAAAAGCGTTAAAAAGGCCTATTATTTGAACATTTTTCTACTTAAGGATGTCAATAAAAGAGACATAAACAGGTTTTAAAACAAAGTTGGTAAATCGGGGCAATTTTTCGAAGGAGAGTGTATCTACGTAGTTCATTTTTATTACGGGGAATCTCAGAGATTTTTTAAACCTAGGAGAAATCTAAACATCTGCATATTACAAGCAATGTATTTTATTGTATACATATATTATTTTACTACTCGTAGTTAATGTCGTATAAATTGTTTTTCAAGAAGCTAAATATTTGGCTTTAACCACAATAAATCTTGAATATATTATCTGCAAAGGACCTCCTTGGCCATGGGTACACGTGCAGGCCCGTAGCCAGGGGGAGCTGGGGACCATGCAGTTTTCTTAGCACACTTCGCTTAACTTTTTAGCCAAACTGTCAACTCTTCCTTTGGAACCCCCCCCCCCCCCCGGTAAAAGCTGCTGACTCCGATCAAGGACTTGTAGGCCTACATGTTTCTGCGCCGAATACCTTACCTGGTAATAGGTATTATTTGAACGCGTGGTCGGTGAGCAGTATTTGGCATCAGCATTTGGCCCACCAACGTCAATGTCTGAATGTGCAGAGCTAAAATTATGTCCACATGTGCTAGATGATCATCAGAGGCCAATGCCCTAATGTTATACAATCATGAATGTCAAGGCATAGGGACAACAAATACTGGTATTTTAATCATAGGCTCAAAAATACTAAGTTGTAAGCTCATGTATTATTGCCACAATTCATGTAAGTAAAAATCATATCCGAGGGACGCAGTCATCAATGGCAGTTAGGCGACTTCATATTTCATATTTTTTTAGCACAGGCCAAGGGAAAAGATGTAGTGATAAACACAAAGAAAATCACAGGTGCACAACTTCTATTGAGGTGCACAACTTCTATTGAGACCACTTATGATTCCAACAATATGTATTGTTTTCAAAAACAATCGTCAATTGACAAAAAAACATTCTGGTACTCAGAATGGTTTCCATATAATATTTGTTTTTCAACAAAGGAACTAAAAGCCATGTTTTATCATAATGAGGTTTAAAACGAATAAGAAGTTGGTGTGTCAGTTAGAATAATATTTCAAGATTGAAATATTCTATTGTCATTATTCTTTCCGCAAGACCCGCATGCGGGGAGGGTCGGAAAAAGGCACACACTTTATTTTCCTAGTCTTGTTTTAAGACTCGCATGGACCCCTCGCTCTGTTTTCGTGTACTATATATGTGTATTACATACCTAGCGAAGCATTTGTATGGAAGTCAATGGGAAAGTTAGCGAGCTATATCCACCGATATTGCCCGATTACCCCGATATAGCCCGCTTACCTCGTTTTGATATTAGATTTCTTTAATAACCATGATAATATCATGACGTCACGTCATTGATACAAAGTAACCATGGGAACAAAGGCATGTAATACATCAGTTATGTCACTATGACGTGAAATATGCCTTCGTTCTTGCCCAAATATAGAGCCTCCCAAGGTCGGCCTATATTGGGAGAACTCAGGCATATTTCACGTCATAGTGACCACGGGGGATAAGCAAAACGAGGGCGAAGCCACGGACTGCGACTCGCGTAACTTTACACCGCAGCCCAGCGCCAAAATGGAGGGACATCCGGCAGTGCCTACTGCTTCTTCCGACAAAATAGAGAAATCCAGGAATTTTAAATGCTATCGTATTGTCTAATCGGTGACCAAAATATTACTCTGTATCTACTGTTGGTCTGTAGATAAGAAAATAAGCAGTTGTCCAGATCAAGCTAAAACAGTAGCAAAGTTCTGATTTTACCTGTAAAATATGTGCATATTATTTAATTTACTATACACTTGAAAGGAGTTTTAACACGTTTCTGATATCTAAAGGTTAGTTGAGGCTCCGAGTATAATTCGTGAAAATGATTTGATAATAGAATGTGTTCATGAGGAGAAAATTAGATTCAAACTGCGCATTCATAGTGGACGCAGTCCAGTAAACAAAGCTATTTCAACAACGCAACACAGCCTCCATTGATATTCTAAGCAACGCAGTCCAGCCGCGAACACGAAATAAATAAGAAAGTGTAAACTATATTCCTACGCTATTATTGTTTCAGGAAAAGAAAGTCAGCATCCAGATTATCATTCAAAGTTACGTTGATTAACATATATCTATTACCTGAATCAATGTCCCAAATTGCTATATTGTATCGTTTAAGACCTAGAAATATGGCAATTCAATAGCATATTTGGCAGAACAGTCGAGCGCAAGATGACAACGTAATATGTTTATTACAAACCAATTTGTGGATAGGATTAAATATATAGATAATTGGATAGTGGTGAGACTTTTTATAAGAAGTAGAAATGCGAAACAATTAACTTTTTGATGATGCAATAAAAGCTGTTGGGGAAGGGTACATTAACTATATCTAGTATTTAAGATATCAGGAAAATATCAAATAATTGGAGAGTTGGTGAGTTAATGTAATTTTGGATGATCTTTCCAACAGTCCATCAATATTGCTAGCTACCACAAATTCATGATTTCAGCTGTATTTGACAGCTTGTATATATTTGCAGAATGGATTGAGACACGATGTAAGTCTATTAAAATAGCCCTTTATATTCAATTTTGTCCAAAGTTGCTCTATTTCGGCCACACCTGTACACACATTGTGCTATCTACCTTTGGCTGTGATTGCGTTCAGCTTCAGATATAAAGTAACACTGAGTCGTGGACTGCGTTGGACAGATGGATGGACTGCGACTATCAAAAATTCCAATTGTCTATGTAATTGTACGTTTTCCGCTTACCAAATATCACACGAAGATGTAATTGTAACAACAGAACATGAATAATTATATTAATTCGATGTCATTTCTGATTCCTTTGTTTAAATCGGTATATTAGGAACAAATATTGACAAAATTACATTTTTTGTGGCAGATTTCGAATTCATTTGTGATCATGCTAAACTATTGGACAGCCGAGCACCAAGAATGCCATTGCAGGTGGAGTATGAATATGTTGATCACCGACTGGAACATACTAGCTATTCTGTAGAATATCCAAACCAATAATCTACCCCAAATCATAACATGCCTTCCAAATTAAGTTTGGACTTACCGCCATTGTTCAGCTATAATGCGTTGTAATCTCGTTTTGAATTACGCGAGTCGCAGTCCGTGGCTTCGCCCTCGTTTTGCTTATCCCCCGTGGTGACATAACCTCTAAATACGAATGTATGTCGTCAAGATGTGGAAGCAGGGGAGGGGGTCACAAGGGCATGTAGCCAAGAGTAGACAGACTACAGCATTGTCTCCGGAGTATGGAAATATTCCATCAGAATTTTTCTATATTTGATCAAGGACCACATGAATTGACCAGCTAAGAGCGACGCTGAGAGAGACGATAGAAAATATAGTCTAGTTTTAATATGTGTCTTCGATTTGGAATTTTTTATAAATGAAGTTGCAATTCATATATTTAGCTCCTCGCTAATTTTCACTTTTAAACTAACTCTGCACATAATGGCACACAAATAAAATGTTGATGAAAAGATGGAGGAATGATTGACACAACATAATAAGACCGTTATTTTAAAACATTTTAATAGTACAATAACGTCATTTCTAAGGCCAATATAGTGAAATATTGGACCGAGGGCCGAAGGCCCAAGGTCCAATATTTCACTATATTGCTCGCAGAAATGACGTTATTAGTAATCACCCTATGCAGACAGAGCCTGTGGGAAATATTGGGTGCGGAGCAAATGAGCGGAGGGTGCGGAGCTAACGGTCATTTTTGAATTTAAATTTGGGATATTTCTGAAACTAAGCCGTTTTGGGACTTCAAATATACCAAGATATGTGTATTTGACACCAAATATCAATACAATTGTGAAAATAGTAGCGCAATTCATTCTATAGCGACGCAGTGTGCCTTAAACCTTTCCCAGACCTATATATTTTGAAATTATCCTTTTAATACTGAGTCCCCAGCATTCATAAAAAAATGGTGTTCAAGGTACACTATCTATACAAATTATTTTTGCATCTTGGAAGCCAGGCAGTATCTGTGTGATTTTATAAAAATTCGGAAATGTTCTTCAGATATGAGCCCCCTCTAAATATTGGGTGCGGAGCTACGTTTATGGAGCTGCAGATACTGCCTGGCTTCCAAGATGCAAAAATAATTTGCATGGGTAGTGTATCTTGAACACCATTTTTTATGAATGCTGGGGACGCAGTATTAAAAGGATAGTCTCAAAATATATAGGTCTGGGAAATGTTTAAGGCATACTGCGTCGCTATTAAATGAATTGCACTACTATTTTTCACAATTTTATTGGTATTTGGTGTCAAATACACATATCTTGGTATATTTGAAGTCCCAAAACGGCTTAGTTTCAGAAATATCCCAATTTTAAATTCAAAAATGACCGTTAGCTCCGCACCCTCCGCTCATTTGCGCCGCACCCAATATTTTCCACAGGCTCTGTCTGCATAGGGTGGTAATATTACCACCGTTAACGACCAGGGCTGAAATAGCAAGAAAATCTTACGCACTGAACGATATATAATTTCCCGGGGAAAATTTGCCGGTCCAGAATATATTCAAGACCGGTAAAAGAAATTATGGTCCCCTGGGGATTATGGTCCCCTTTATTAAAGGCCCTTACTGGCCCTGATTGTGGATACGATAATAAGGGAAAGAGTTGTATTTAGGTCACCATTTAAATCAATGGAAAGTAGGACCATAATTTGATAGGACCTCCTACCCTTTTACACCTGTTCATATGGACCACCACTATGACGTCACACATTTCTCAGGTCGATATAGTAAATTGAATGCCTTCTAAACTAGCACTAAAACCCCTAGAACTGGCCCGGCAAGGTGGTAATAATACTGCATGCTTGGGCCTTATCTTCTGCATTTATAGGTCAAACATGATGAGCCCTGTCGAAAATTGCATTCTAGTATGTAAATGTAACAAACTGTAATTTAAAAAAAAGTATATGTAAATTACAAAGGCAAAACAGGGTATCTTTATAGTGTATGTTAATTATAAATACACGAAGTACATACATTTCTTTCTGCATTTAAACTTGAATAGGGGTATGGGGTTTAACACGTATCCGCTACCTCTGCCTCTGGAGTCCCGGGAAAACAAAAATAATAGTAGCAAAGCGAGATACACACCATGATCTATTTATTATTCAATGATTGAACAATGTGACTCAACTGTACCTGCGAGCTGTTACTAAAAAACGGGAAACCTGATGAATCGCTGCACAAATATACAGTGAGTATTACCCTATATATCTTAAGCTAGTAATCGCATTTTGATATTTCATTGATCGTGTGTAGCATCCGTGTAATCAGTAAAATATATTTTTAAAGCTGTTTTTGGCAATTTCTTAAAACCTATTGCTTATCAAGTACTATAAGCATTATGTAATGTATAAGTGGATTGCCCTGGATTCAGATTTTCATTCTAAACCGAGTTATAAACAACAATTTATGCTATAATTAACCAGTGAAGGCAATACCATGACGCTTTTTCACCGAATTACGCCATGTACATATGCGAGATGAAAATAATCACAGACCTGCTATTTCGCTCGTGATTTATTTCCATCAGTCGTCCAAGTCGCAACGCTCTGAACTACACGCAAGAATCATGGTAAGTTTGCAAATTTTAACTTTAATCATGCCCTGAGAAAATGATATATTATATTTTAATAATTATTATTTAAGTGCGAATAACTTTTTGTAAGCCTGCAATCAAAGCTAAAAATAAGCAATCATTCGCATGTTCATTAGAAAAATATAGCCTACATATACTGCCTACATAATAGCCTACGCATACTTTAATTAGGGCGCACTTTATTTTATCACACCATAATTGCAATGGCAAGGTGCTCTGAAAGTCCAAGTTCAAATGGCAATCAAAAGAGAGAACAAAAAATCAAAAAATATGAACTTGCAAAACTAAAACAATAAAATATTTCCAGTCTCATAAGAGAAGGGTCTATGTAAGATAAATAGGCTTTTAATTATGAATACGTACTCATTTGCCTAACTTTTTTTTTCAGCCTCTCTTCAACGTTTCCGGATCCCAATACCTTGGTAAGTAGATTCTTAAATATTTGGTCTTTTTCAATAACCTTTATATATTTTATTTCCTAGGAGTATTAATTCAGACATAGGATCACGGTTATCAAATATTCCAAAGTTACGCTTCTTTTAATTACGATCATTCGTATCATTTTCAGCTTTATTCGAGTCTAGTGTCATTTATACAGTTTTTGCAATTTGTTCTTTATTGTTCATCTAACACTTCTTCGAAAGTTATTGTCCATTTTTAATAATAGACAATGGTCTTCCTTTTGTAATTATGTCACGACAGATTCATCAAATATTGGGGAAGTTAAGTACATGTACATGTTTTTAAAAGATTCTGTACCCGAGCGTGTAATCTTTCGACCCCCGGGGATTACCGTCCCGCTCTCAATGGACCTAATTACAATTATTTTCAGTATACCTTTATACTCAATCGGCCAAGTATAAAGTACAAATGGGAGAACTACATGTAATTATCAACACATAGGACCATAAACCCGCACGTTCAAGTTTTTGAAAAAGGCGCATCTAAACCTCCCTATTAATAGCACTTCTTCACATATTTGAATAGAATGCAGAGTTCAAAATCAAAATAATTTGTTAAATTATGTTGAATGAAATTCCCCATGTTTTTCTAATTTTGCTGAATGTGCAAAGCTGAATGAACCTAAGCAAACTATACTCATTAAACACCGTATTTTAGGTCTGTTGAAATTCTTCAACAGCTACCAAAGGAACAACGTGCTTGGCAAGCAAGAGTTGAGAGCCATCCTCAGTCGTAGAGACATTACCCCAACCGACAGTGAGCTCCAGCAGATGATTGACAGTATCAGTGTTGAATGTAAGCGTACAATTATATACACTCTCGATAAGTTTGGCAATATTTAAAGGACCAATAACATTCAATTTTATATGTACACACCCTCGAAACGTTTGGCAATTAAAGGACCAATAACATTCAATTTTATATGTACACACCCTCGAAAGGTTTGGCAATTAAAGGACCAATAACATTCAATTTTATATGTACACACCCTCGAAAGGTTTGGCAATTAAAGGACCAATAGCATTCAGGTATACATAAACAAACCCTAGACACGTTTAGCAACCAGTGGACCAATTAGCGTGTCAAAACCTGTTTATTTTTTAATAAAATATCAAAATTAATAGAGTTAATAGGGGACTACCTGTTGCCAAATATTTGTAGGGAGGGGGTTGGGTTTTTCTTTAATACATTAATCTGTTCAATTTAATATGAATTTGAGTGGGACTAGGGGATATAATGTATGTATGGGTGTACACTAGTCTTCTTCAAAACGGTTGTTCTTTGAATTCTCTTGACTTGACTTATCTTGACTCGATAAATTACACATAGTACGAACTTGACTTATGTGTTTAATCAATTGATTTTAATTGTTGGACTGCAGTTTTGTTTTTATGATAATTTCAATTTTTTCCGTTCACACCAATTAAAGTCATGGTCTTTTTATTGGGTCTGTCGGTCAGAATATTCTAATCGTAAGTATATGTTAATTACAGCGTCTGGCATCAACTTCCAAGCGTTTGCTGACTACATCAGCGAGTTCCCAGGACTCCGTGACCAGGACAGGGACTTCTCCGCCGCTTTTAACATCTTTGACCGTTCTGGCACAGGAGAGCTTTCCCGTGAAGACCTCGGCTTCGTTATTGGAAAGATGGGCCAGAAAGGCACTGATGTAGATGCAATCCTTGAAGCCTGTGACAAAAATAAAGACGGAAAGATCCAATATGATGGTATGTAGATTTTTATCATATTACCCTGGAATAAAATTCATATTGAAAATCAAGCATGAAATAACCTATATATATAGCATATAGTCTATCTAAGAAAAACTGAATACAGGGGCGTTGCCAGGATTTAACATTTGAATAATTTATGCAAAAATTGACCTCATTCGACTTCCTATGCAGGATTTCTATTGAAAAATGTTTGCACTATTATCTTTCTATAAAATTTTGGTAATCTAGGAACGCAGCCTAGCAACGCCCATGGAATGCAATTTTATTCAGAAGATAGCAACATAGTTTTTTTCTTTACATTTAATCATGACCCATCGAAATATGACGTTGAATTGTAAATGCTGGAATAAACTTATTTATCCTATGCCAAGTAGAGTTTTAGGGAGATAAGTTGGTAAGACATATCCGGTATCCTGATTTTGAGGTTTCCATATCCAGAACCTCCATATCTCCCGCTTCGGTGCATATCTTCCCGCTTCGGTGCATATCTTCCCGCTTCCGGTAAGTAGTGGAAATGCAATAAAATGACTTTGCATAAGAATGATTTGATTGTTTTTACACCTTGTACTATTGAAATGGCCATATGCACCTGAAACTCTACTTTGAAACTCTACTTGGTATAGGATAAAGCAGTTATGTACGGTCGGTTTGGATATTGGGTTCATCCCTCGTGAGATATGCACATCTACCTTCGGTCCCTATGGTCCCTCAGGTAGATATGTATATCTCCCTCTGGATAAACCCCATATCCAAAACCTCCCAGTACATAACCCTTATTTATTTTGTTGATATCTCGTTGTCTTATGGAGATTTCACATGTGCTCCAAGTCTTATTCTCTTGCAACTTGTAGGTTTAGTTTCATGATATGATTCGAGCGTGTTCATTGATGTGTTTATTTGCTTAACAACATCGATCATGTAATATCATCCAAAATTTCAATAACCGGTTTATCTCAATCAACGTAGATTTCATCAACAAGTTGGTAAAAATTAAATAATGCATGTATTAGCCTATTTTTTAATGAAACCATCAAACTGGAAACATTGAAAACATTTCTGACTGACCGTATAAAGAGAACATTTAGTGCGTTTTATTAGCTGGTGATTACATCATTTGTGTACCAAGTTCAACTTATAAATGTGGTCATCCAGGGTTGTTTCGTTGTAAGAATAAACCAGTGCCAAAAAGGGGAAAAACAAATTGACATAATAAAACACAACAAGAAAATGTTCAACTTAAGCATTACTTCAATGACAAACTAATCCGTATGTTATGTGACATGTATTTTCAGAGTTCATTGAGGTTATGAAGAAACAACTTTAGATGGCATAATGTTACACCGCTGACACTACGGACTCTACGCCAATATGTATATTTGACATCATGTTACTGAATATATAGTTTTGGAAAGGACACTCTTATTGAAATTAAAAGATCAATTCGTGCTTCACATATGTAAAAAATGAAGTGAAATTATGCCGAGACATTCTTCTAAACTCTAACATAGTTTTAGTTACTATGTCAAATGTGACATGTGTGTAAAGAAAATTGTTATGTTGAATAAAATGTTATTTTAATAAAATGTTATTTTCCACTTGGGATTTTTAGTAATTATGTTATGTGCATAGTACTTAGTGTATTACAACAGGGCCTTCCACTCCAAAGGTTTGGCAGTTGATAAGTATCATTTTGCACCACAAAACCCTTTTTAGGCTAACATGTATGCTTGGCAATGCTAATACATCATTTGTCATATATTTCTCCGATACATTTGTCATACATTTCTCTGATACATTTATCATCATACATTTGTAACAGAAAAACAAAATTAATTTCAAACATGAAACACACTGGTGATCCACTCGATTACGCTGGTTACCAAAACGGTTCGTTTTGGTAACAAAATGTCGGAACGTCGAAGGTACGATTTTTCCTTATTTCACGCGTTGTAGGTAGAATCTCCAAGACGTTTTTTCTCACAAACGTATATCAGTATCATATGTTTTAGAAAATGTTCATGTTTGCGAAAAATAGCTCAGAAGACAACAGGATCGTCGATTTAATTCCTCACTTAAGGTACATAAACGGTTTTGGTTAAAAGTGCAGATCTTAACAGTTTTTCGAAAAACCGTTTATGTAACTTAAGTGAAGTATTAAATCGACAATTATGTTGTCTTCTGAACTATTTGTTCGCACATATGTACATTTTCTTAAACATATGATACTGACACTCTTAAAAATTATTACTTGGATTTCCTTATATTGAGAAATTGTACTACTCATTTTAAGTCAAAAAATACTTAAATAATCTTGAACTACTGAATAATTTTTAAGTAATTTTTAAGTAATTCATTTATGGTGAATTTACTAATGCAAGGAGAGAAATTGAAACACTTACTGTAGTAATTATAATACTCATTTACATAATTAAGCAATTAAAAAACTCAAAATGACAATATAAGTTAAACCTAAGTAAAATGAAGTAAAACTAAGTATTTAACTTTAAGTAATTTTTATACTTGAGAAATACTTGGGAAATACTCAAGTAATTCATTTTTAAGAGTGGATACATGTAAAAAATGTCGTGGGAATTCTGCCTACAACGTTTGAAATAAGGAAAAGAGAAAAATCGTACCTTCGACGTTCCGACATTTTGTTACCAAAACGAACCGTTTCGGTAACCAGCGTAGTCGAGTGGATCACCAGTGAAACAGACATTAACATGTTATCCAAATTGCGACTTCCGCTTACTACACTTATCAAGGGGATGCAACCAGTTCTGCCATCAGTGATGAACACTCAAAACAAAACTGAGTTAATGCCTTAAAAGTTTGCTGTTTTGCAACAAAAAATGTGCCTCGTTTCATCAAATAATATCCAGAAATGTCAGCAACACACGTCATCCATCCCACATAAAGAAATCTGCCTAATTCTTACTCTAAAACTACGTGTAATACGATATCTATTCTAAAGCTGAAGATCCTTTAATGGTTTTATGAGCTTATTTGTTACTTGCTAGTACACGTGAACAGGTCTACACGCTAATATTTGGTGGATTTACACTAGCGCGCTAAGACGTCTTAGCTAAAACGTTTTAGCGTTAAAACGTTTTACAAATGTAATTTTTTCATTTTACATGTATACCTACATAGGAAAACAGGTGTTAACTCGATCCTATTTCCTAAGACGTCTTGAAAATGGTAATGTAAACTCAGCTTAATTTTTCTAAAACGTTTTAGCCAAAACGTCTTGGAATGCTGCGCGTAGTGTAAATTGGGCTATTATTTCTATACAAACACTTCAAATATTTTGAAACCACGTAATATCATAGCACGCCATAAACTGTTATTTCTACATTCTATCTCTCAATCTTTGTCTTAGTCATATATAGTATTGCAAATATCACAATAAGATGGGTACATTAAAATTGCAATCAATATGTTAAATTGACCTATCAATGTATCCCTCACAATTTTATGATATCTCCCAAAAGATCTGTGATATGTCGTCAATTGGTGAAGTTATTTTAGGTTCATAGTACAAAAACTGGGGGCCTATGTTTGATTTTTCTCAAATAATAAAAATATATACATATTATAGACAATTGAATGCATTATTTAGTTAACAAGGCATGATATGAGCCCAAAATATTCAAAAATTGAATTCTAAAAACATCGTTATTTTGATGATGAATGTAGTGATGGATCATTGCTAGATCTTATTCTAAGCACCATTTTGAGGCCAATGGACGAAATTGTGCCCTGAGAAAAGGTTCGACCTTGAAACTCTGCATCGTATTCTTGTCGAGTGTTCATTTTTTGCACACGACTACCTTACCGAATTTTCAATTACTGAACCTAACCCCCCTATCACACCAAACTAGTTCTTACCCGTTCTTGCCAGTCCTACGAAAATGTCGTAAAACGGGCTCAATCTGGCTGCGGTCGGGATATATGTCTAAAATAATTAGCTACTTCGTTCATAAACAGTCTTCAATACGTCCATCTCATTCGCAGTTCGTTCAAGTCGCACCACGTCGGTGTGCAACGTAGTATAAACCGTCCCTTAGTCTAGAAGGTCATCATGACCTGATTACAGAACGGTATGGTCGCCATCGAATTTTGAATCGATTCAAAATTCTAAACCACATACCCCGTCCGGGAAAGTCCATGAAGTTCGTAAACAGACCGTAGAACGTTGTAGCTACGTTCATTCAGTTCGCACACAGTTTAAAACCGATTCGGCAACGTTTTGACGACCAAAAATAATTTTGAGCATGCTCTAAGTGGGACCTACTCGTTCTAGTAGTTACATGAAGTTTGTAAACAGATCCCAAACGGTTCTAAGTGGGTTCTTGGTACGTCAAATCCGTTCGTGCACAGTTTACGCCCGTTTTCGAGAACGTAGTAAGAACTAGTTTGGTGTGATAGTAGGGTTACAAACTAAAAATATTACAATTATAATAATAGGAAAATACTATTACAGGTAAACACAATGCGATGTCTAGGATCATGCTCCACCTATTGGTTCTATACATCCAAACAAATAAGTTATCAAAGGCAGAATCTGATCTATAGGGGGTGACAAAATTACAAGCAACATGTATAATTGACCTACCAATCTATTCCTTACAATATCAAATACAATATCTCCAAAAGATTCACAATATGTTATAAATTGGTGAAGTTATTAATGATTCAAAGTGCTAAAAATGAATGAAAAATGTTTAAATTCTCCCAAATGATAAGAATGGTAACCATTCTAAAAAAAAAGTAATACATTATTGTAAAAATCTTTCGTTTTCCTCGAATAAAGTATGCATTTTTGTGAGTTTTAGAGAATAGACATGACAAGGAATGACATGAGTCAAAAATATTCTAAAATTGAAACAATCTTTGCTTAGCCTGCTCGCTGTATCCGATTCTCTCTTTAAGTTTAGGCTGATATAAAGATGATAGACGGGTTGATTACACTGCCATCTTTCATGAATCTTCTTTACCCATTCAGTGAACAATAGATTTTGCAACTCACTTAATAGCAAAGACGTCTATCTCTGAGGTAGACGTCGTCCTTGCTTATAGCATGTTTATTATTCCCGAATAACGTATAACTTATGGAGCGGTTGATTACGTTATCATTTATTGCGCAGCTCTATACGTCCATAAGTATGATATTCTCACGTATAGACGACCATTTATAAGAATATCAAACTAACGGGCGAACACAAAGCTGCGCAATAAAAGAGGACGTAGTCATCGCTATATAAATTATACATTGTATGGGAATAAAAAATATGCTATAAATGAGTTTCAAAATCTCTCTCATGATTTCTAAATGTTAATGATAGGGTGTGTAGACGTTAATTACGCTCGTGCAGATGTAAAATTACGCGCGTGCAGACGTAAAATTATGCCTGTGTAGGCGTAAATTACGCCCGTGAATAAGGAAATTCTACGAACGTTCAAACAACATTTACGGGAGTAAACTTATGGCGTTAAAATGATTAATTACGGGCGTTAAGACGATTATTTTACACGCGTTGAGAAACATCTTCACGCCCGTCGAGTTTATTTTTAGCGCCGTAACAAATTTGGTATTAGGGAGATGTGTACTCTTTGGAATGTTAATGCAGTCCTCTTTAGAGTCACATGTTATTTTTTCAATACAAATAGTGCACCAAGATACCAAGAAAAGAAATACTGTTTCATAGCCAACAATTGCAATAGTTGGCACAATCATGAGTATGTTATTAACCTGCACCAGGATCTTGGAGTTGCACTTTTTGCTAGAATGCATCGTATTATTATGTAAGCAAGATGCTGATAGGTCCATAATTAACGGCGCTAAAATAAACTCGACGTTCGTATGTAGATGTTTCTCAACGCGTGTTGCATAATGTATTAACGCCTGCTATTAAACATTTTAACGCCGTTAGTTTACACCTGTCATGTATGTTTTTTAACGCGTATAGAATTCACTTCTTTACGGGCGAAGTTAACGCCTACTCGGGCGTAAATTACGTCTGCACGGGCGTAATTGTGCGTCTGCATGGGCGTAATTAACGCCTACACACCCGTAAACAACGCGTGCATACATCGGGTAGGTTGGCAGACCATAAAGTTATAGTGAGATATGTCTGTTAAATACAACAAAGAAAGCACTGCGTATTGTTATTTTCTTAGAACATTGTGTTATAAAAGAATAATTCTACAGTCTGATACGCTGCTTCAAAGGCAAGCAGTTGAACCTGAAAATAAGAAAGCTAAAGACGATCATGCAATGAAAAACATATTCATATTGCACACGAATGCCATAAACCTCTTATATCTTGATGCTTCTCGCCATGTTAAATCTGAAAAAATAACATGGCGGAATAACCTCAAATTAAAAGAGGGCACAGGCTTATTGCACTAAACAATGAATAATTTGAAATATACAAATGGCATTCGTGTGCAATATGAATATATTTTTTATATATGATTGCACAATAGTCTTCAGATTTCTTATTTTTCAGGTTTACAACATCTTAAACTATAAATACTATAATCAGCAAGTGAAGGCGATGCGATGACGTGTGTTCACCGAATTACGCCATGTACACATGCGCATTGAAAATAATCCTAATCCTGGATTTCGCTCGTGCTTTATTACCTTCAGTCAATCGCAACACTTTGGACTACACTCAAGAATCATGGTAAGTTTGCACAATGTTAACTTGGGTATTTGATAACTTAAATAATGTTTATAAATATAGTATACTATATTGAAGTACTTATTTGCATTAACTCTTATTTTTCAGCCTCTTTACAACATATCTGGATCCCAATACCTTGGTAAGTAAGACTTTTAGTATTTTATGTTTTAATAAAAATCACGTTTTTGTATATCAATCAGTCGTCCATTGCAGTTTTACTCGTTTCTACAGTAAGTTATTTATCAATGTACATGGAGTTTTGCAATTTGATCAAATTCATTGTTCATTAACAGTCACTGTCCAAATCTAGTAGTAGACAATGGTGTTCAACTATTTCTACTTCTACTATTTTTTCTGAATGTGAAAAACTGTATAGTGAACCATTTATTTATCTAATTTTATTTAAGATCATGAGTACAGTTTATAGAAATACACTCCCCTCCATAAGTTTGGCAACCTTTTTTCCCCATTGAACTACGTGTTAAAGCCTCTTTACGTTTGAATTTTTATTTACTTAACCCGCGATGAAATAACTTATAATATTAATGGAAACGTAATTTGACTTTATTGCCAATACCTCCAAATTTTCTCAATTTTTTTCCTCAATTACAATAGGTCGAAAATTGATGATAAATTTGATGAATTTTTGAAAATCGTCATTCCCATGTAATCCAATGGGAAATGGAGGGTTCGGGGCAAATCAGAAATCAGGATATCTTTTCAGTAAAAGATTCAGCAAAAAAAAATTTTATAAAGAAAATTGAATTGTCTAACTTTTTTGTACACTAAGTGTTTAATTTATTTGATGAATATTAAAGTTACAGCGTTTCAAAGTCATTTTTGAAAATAATTTTTCGCCTCCTGTGTTATTTCAATGGGAGAGTTTTTTTGAAAAAGAATTTTGACTTTAAAGCCCTATAACTTTGTTGAACCTGAAGAAACATATCAATTTTTTGTTAAATAAAGTTAGCGAATTCAATTGCCTGCCTAACTCGTATTTTTTGCAAGGACTCGGATGGATGGATATTCTGTCATATGACTTGCGGCAAACCTACCATTTCCCATTGATTAACATGGGAATGTCGATTTTCAAAAATTCATCAAATTCATCATCAATTTTCGACCTATTGTAATTGAGGAAAAAAATTGAGAAAATTTGGAGGTATTGGAATTAAAGTTAAATTACGTTTCCATCAATAGTATAAGTATTTTCATCGCAGGCTAAGTAAATAAAAATTCAAAGGTAAAGAGGCTTTAACACGTAGTTCAATGGGGGAAAAAAGGTTTCCAAACCTATGGAGGGGAGTGTACATTAAAATACTACAATAAAACAATAGCCCCACAACCATGACAACGACCTATAAACACTAGACTAGTGGAAAATTCAATAAATAGAAAGCTAGTCATACAGTACATGAAATGAATGTATATTTTTGATTTAGTATATGCAAATTAAAAATATCGATGAATGAAAAATTAAAGTCATTTTCTCTTCCATACTAATAATACACCGTATTTTAGGTCTGTTGAAATTTTTCAACAGCTACCAAAGGAACAACGTGCTTGGCAAGCAAGAGTTGAGAGCCATCCTCAGTCGTAGAGACATCAAACCAACCGACACTGAGCTCCAGCAGATGATTGACAGTATCAGTGTTGAATGTAAGCATACAATCAGACACACCCTCGATAAGTTTGACAATTAAAGGACCAATATCAATTTCATGCATGTACAAACCCTAGATAGTAGATTTTGGCACCCAATAGCATTCAGTTATACATGTAACACCTTAGCTTGTATACGCGAATGCAACTAACGGCTACCGGCTATCGGGTCCAGTGGTGGATCCCGCCCCTTCCTATAGTGGGCCCAGAAGAAAATTTTAATTTCTGGGCCCAACATTTTGCAGGGTCTTAAAATGGGCCTTTTCGGGCATAATTTGGCCTTTATAGGCCTTTTTGGGCCAATTTATCAAAATATATTGTATTGGCCTTAATTTTTCAAAAGGGTCCAATTTTTTTGGTTTAGGGGCCCAAACTATTTTTAAAGACAACCGCCTTGTTAATTGCTGAATCCGCCACTGGGGTTGATTGCAGTTTGATGCCAAACAAACTCATTTAAATATGAATATTACCTACAGTGCTTCCCGTTATAGCTGCAACCACTTGTTTCAAACCCGGTCGCTGGCCAAAATAACGGGCTAATCTGCCTATTTAGCAGCATGTAGCATTGCCCTATGTTCTGTTTGCCAAATCGACTGAGCGGCTTTATTGGAATCGATCCTTTCATTAAAAAGTCATGTTATCATTGATCAATGTTCGTCGACTGGCGGGTTGTTCGTAATTATAACTTTAAAATGACAGGTTAAGGCTCAGCTGGAAAGTAACATTTTGGTAAAAAATTGCTATACCTGCACATGTTATTTTCTGGTACAAAATTAAGTATGAAGGCATGTGTGTATTTCCTTGCTTTTTCAGGAAAGTATCATTACACTGTGTACTTTAGTAAACCTGGACATGGGTCAATGGTAGTTCCTGTGTTGTCTGGAAACTTTGAAAGAAAATATGGAAAATAACAAGTGTGAAATATCAGAAGGTGCAGGTATAGCAATTTTTACCAAAATGTTATTTTCCAGCTATACCTTAATATATCAGCATTATAAACCATGACATCTCATTTCTTCTCAGCCCTGAGATGCCATGATATAATGAGCTTGATTTGGCGATCCAGGAGAGCCCAAAATTGAGGATTTTCGAGACCTTTCATCATAGCTCATATTTCATCCAACTGGGGTAATTAAACTTGCAATTTGTGTACCTGTGGCTGTTCCAATATCTGCTGTTAAAGGTATAACAATTTTTGCAGAGAGGCCATTCAACGATCATGGACCAGTGTCAAAATATATTCAAGTTTGGATATGTCATCAAGACTAACATATATTTTTATTATCTCGATAGAAACTCGCTGGATTAACACTATTTCAGCTGATATTCCTCTTAAAACGTGGTGGATTTTGAAAATCTATAAGTGGGACTCCCTCAAAAGATTCTGTTCAGTAACCTTCCCTAGCTCATACGTTTAGCTTTTTCAGTCACACTTTCAAAGGGCTAAAAAGGTTATTTCATCATGTTTAGGGTCATTCTGACCATGCACATTGTGATCCTGGTCATGTAAATGATATGTGGAAATAGTTAAATCGACTGGAGGTCAATCCAGAACTCTGTTATCTTTGTTCAAAAATGTCTAAAAATGCAAAATTTCTTGTCACTTCCTATTCCGTCTCTTCCTTTTTACTTCCATGGCACCCTAAAGAAACATTGAACTGAATTTACACTTCTTAATGCTAAAATTTATAGTTTGTCCAAAGAAAATAGGTAAGTCAAAGGAGATGTTAAGCCAAATGTTGACCTGATAGCTCAGAAAAAGTAATTTTTTCGAATTTTCTCTCTACAATTGCCCCTTTAACAATGCCTTTTATGTAAAGTATTGACATAAAGGTTGATGATTACATGATAACCATCACACTTATTGACAGTTATAACTCTTATCATCTGATGTGCTCAGATCACAGAATATGCCTTATAGTATCAGAGCATGTTTCAGGTGAAACAGAAAGATGCTATGAGTATCAGAATGGGTTAGTTTATGGAAATAATAATATAATCTGGTAGCCGCTTTTTCGCATTCGTGAATAAAAGCTAGCTTATACGTTTTGCAACCAGTAGACCAATTAGATGTCGAAACCTGTTTACATTGAAATGGAGTGTCTTTAGTTGGTCGGAAATTGAAGATAAAGTATAAAAACTAGATAAACAGGCTATGGAGTTAATTGGGGACTACTTGTTGCCAAATATTTGGAGGGGGGGGCATTCCTTTCTAAATACTCTCTCTTCAATCTAATGTAAGTCTGAGTGGGACTAGGGAATATAATGTAGGTGTGTGTACTAATCATCTTCAAAAATGTCCTCTTAACTTGCCCCACTCGACAAAATATTAATCAATTACATTGTGGATAGGACTATACATCAGTATTTTTGTTTTAAGATTAAACATTTTTATGGTGTCACAAAGCACGAACTTGAATTTTGTGTTTTATTAAACGATTTTAATGAGGCTTGTTGGACTGTTCCAGCGTCTGGCATCAGCTTCCAAGCGTTCGTCGACTACATCAGCGTGTCTCCAAGGCTCCGTGACCAGGAGAAGGACTACTCTGCTGTTTTCAGCATCTTTGACCGCTCTGGCAATGGAGAAATATCCCGTGGAGAGCTTACCATCGTTCTTGTAAAGATGGGCCGCCGATACACAGAAGCGAATGCAATCCTCGAAGCCTGTGACAAAAATAAAGACGGGAAGATCCAATATGATGGTATGTAGGTCTATATGGCATACTAGATATGTTGTTTATATACGTACAGTGTGTCCCAAAAAAAAGGAAACCAGCAATAGATTGCTTATTTCTCAAATATGAATAGTAATAGGAAAAGTTCAAAGCTACCATCTGATAGGTTATGATGTCCCTTTTCTTATGATACCAAATGTGTTTATTTTTCTTCACGGATGACTGAGTTCTAAGAGATTTAAGTGACCATGTCAGAAATTGGTTTGTGCCACTTTTTCTGTCATGAATGGCTGAACAATGAGGGATTAAAATGGCTATGCAAGACCATGTCCTATTCGAAATACACATTTCTGAACAAGCATTCAACATAGCAAGTTCATGCAGCTGACCCAAGATCAAAGAGTATTCGTAGTAAATGAGTGGCTCAGAAGTGGGAGCCTTCAGCAGGTTGCTGATCAGTTTAGAGAACGCTTCCCAGATAGAAATGTACCTGCTAAGTCGACAATCTGGAAGAATATCAAGAAGTATCAGAGAGAAGGAACAAGTCTCGATCTCAACAAGGGACGTTCTGGAAGAAGAACAGCTCGGTCTGATGAAAACATCAGGATTGTCGCAGCAGTGGAGGATCTAAGGGGACAGAGAGACATCATCAGGGATGCAGTACGTGCGATGAGATCAAGGGCAGAGATTTGGATTGAAAGGAATGGGGGTCATGTTGAAGGACACTGGGGTTAAAACAACTTTGAATGGACATTGGGATTTAAAAGGGGTGTTAAATATGATATGTGTACTTTTAATTGGAATAAATGAGTAAAAGAGTGATATCCTGATGTTTGTTGTTACTTATCACTTTGTTATGATGGTGAAATTGACTTGGCTGAAAGTGGTACAAACTCATTTCTGACATGGTCACTTAAATCCCTTATAACCCAGTCATCCGTGAAGGAAAATAGACAACTTTGGTATCATAAGAAAGAGGACATCATAATCTATCAGATGGTAGCTGTGAAATTTTCCTATCATCATTCATATTTGAGAAATAAGCAATCTATTGCTGGTTTCCTTTTTTTGGGACACCCTGTATAGTAGTATAGTTAAGTATAGTATATACATATTTGTTTTGAGGGCCGTCTGGCACCCCTACACGAAGTTCAACTACCCAGAGAGTGTCCAGCATAATCATACAGGTAGTTTGAAAAACATGTAGTTTGGAATGTGTAACCTTCCATGAGAGCAAGATTACAATTATCAGAGTGGGCCATAGTCTTGAGGTTAAGGTAAGCGTAAGTAGCCCATTTTACCTAAAGTGAACCCTTGCAACCGTGATTGTGATAAAAAGAAATGTTCAATGTTTCCGAAGACGAGAACATCTTCCAGTGAAATCGCAACATAACCCTATATGGTCTTAAAATGTCAATATCTACATTTCATGGACCAATTCTAATGAAATATGGCTCAAACACTGAATATTAGATTTATTAGATAAAAGTGTGAAATGTGTTTTCTGCTCAAATAGCGTCCCGTTTGCCATATGATAGGGTTTAAATTTATAATCTCTCATTGAAAGCCTTATTTTAAGATCATCTAATGTGTATCAACAATTTTCGTCAATCACATCGATAAAATTTTGCACAATATCTAATTTGAGGCATGTTTGTTTAAGTCTTGTAATTTCTTTGAAATTGAAGACTGAGAATTGTAGACCTTTTTCTACAAGATGTGATAATATGAGCTAATTCATGCATGCATTAAGGAAAATTTAGCCTGTTGCAGGGTTCACTTTTTTGGACAACCCTGTATACGTAGTTTGTTATTGCACTAAGCGGTATTTTACCTAATTATTACAGGGTTTGCGATACGTTACCTATAAATTTTCAGATAGGTTATTTGAAAAATTATCTTTTTATGCAACTAATGATGTCATTTGTAGATCAAATATCATTCATTTAACAAAACGTTTATCATTCGATCAGCATAGAAATTCAATGGTCTAACACAACCATTGATGCGACAGGATGATGCCATGTGATGATGCATAAAATTGTTGAATTGACACATTCTTCATCAATTTTGCTTCTTGTAAATGTATGGAATTAAACATTTTCAAGTGGTTTTAATTGGTTAATTTTAATAATTTGTCGCTCTCATTGCTGAATCATGCTAGAAATTTAGCATTTCGCATCAAGTCCCTGCCCCATTAACACCACCCCCTCCCACCTATAGTAGCTACACCACGCTCTTTCTGAAATGCATAACAGTTCTTGGTGGTGGCATTTACTGGCAAATGACGTAAAAGTCACTGCATGGTTTATATCCTATAATTACTTAGGATGTCATTCTTATCTTAAATTGTTGCATACGATTTTGTAGCCTTTTACGTTAATCTTAAACTCATTTTACAAAGTGCATTAACTACACGTATCCGGAACAAACATATGGATAGGGATAGGTATACCTATGTTCTTACGCTAATCTTAACCTCTCTATAGCTATTATACGCAAGTTGACGTTTGGGGATTTTCGCTCATATGTCAAGGGACCTTTAGGTTTGAACATGTTGTATTTATTTACGTAAAATCAATGATGTGGAATATCATCCAAAATTTCAATAAGCGGTTCATATCCCTAGATGCAGGCTTCAATTACAGTATGATCGACATGAGATAAAGTTTGCATTTGCCAATCCTTTTTAAAGAAACCATTAGAGTGGAAACATTGAAAACATATCCTACTCTCCTTATAATGATCTAACATTTGGCATCTTCGACTTCCAAGGTGGTTATGACACAAAGTGGAGCAACTGAAATCAAAATGTGAATCAAGATGAACATTTCGAACGTTCTGTCCAATTTCATTTTAAATCCAGGGTGGCGATGCCATAATTTGTGGATCAAAGTCAACTTATGCTGCCGACCAGGCCAAGGGTTGTTTATTTGGTAGAATAAGCCAGTCCAAAATGGGGAAACCCCAAATGAACACAATTCCAGCACATTCCAGTCATGAAAACAACAGGAACTTCTCTTTGAGGGAAACGTTTGTGTATTTATTTTTCATGCATCGCTTTCCTCACCGCCAAACAACAACAACAACAACAACAACAACAACAACTGTATACTAAATGGAATTTTTATGATGTTTTCCGTTGGTGCCTAACTGGTTCCACTTAACATTATAAACTCCAATGAAAACTAATTGCGTTTTTATTTTCATGTATTTTCAGAGTTCATCGAAGTTATGAAGAAAAAAACGTTTGATGACATTGATGTTAAACCGATTGCACTTGGTTACTGAATGAACAGTTTTGGAAAGGATACTGCGTACTTTTATTTTAGATTGAAAGATCAATTCGAACTTTACATATTTAGTGAAATCATCATAGTGTCGATCAAGTACTGTCTAATGTGACACGTGTGTTTTGAAAATTGTTTTGTTGAATAAAATATCATTTTCTTCTTGAAATTCTCGATATTATGTTACGTTCATATTACTTCGAAAATCCTAACGGTGTATTACAATGCGCCCCCAAAGGTTTGGCAGCCGAGATGTACCATTTTGGACCACAAGTTTAAACCCTGTTTACACTATTATATTTGACAATGCTAAAAAATCAATTTACGGTTAACATGCTATCCAAAATGCGACTGGTATGGGATTTTTTGACATGCTATCTTGATTTTCTTGGCACACGTAGTACTTACATTACATTTGGTTGATATTTTTCATATTTTTGTACCTTGCCAATGATACTATTGGGCTACTGTGAAGGAACTATCAGTACATTTGGCTTATCAGTTGCCGAGAAAATACACCACAATGGCATACTAGGGAATCATCGAGGGCTTAAAAGGAACAAATGGGGGCTGTCTAAGCACCACCAGGGCATTCTGGGGAATCACTAAGGGCTATTAAGGAACCAATGGGGATTATTAAAGAACCCCGGTGCTGGTGGCATACTAGGAATCACTAACTAGAAAAACAGCAACTCCACGCAGTAGCCAATCCCACAGAACAAAACATATATTGATAATTGGTGACCATCTTGAAAGTTTCTTCTTAAACAGAGCATATCAGCATATAAAATTTGAACCAAATCCATCCACTGGTACAGGTACATGAGTTATCAGAGATTTTTTCTGAAAAATGGCAGCCATTTTGAAATTCATCCACCAATTATTTACCAGTTATCAATTACATATATGTGCATATATTCCGAAAAATTGTGGTTAATCATAATGTTGGTGTCACATTATTAATTATTTTCTATGTACCCCCTACTTATGTCATGCGAGGTATAAATATTGATTTTTTCCCAAACGCTTTATTGCCAAATTGTGGTGAGAATTACAAAATAGGATGTAACTAGCATGGTCACCAAATTTCTACCTCCATACCGCAATATAAGGGCTAGCTTATAACCTATTATAACTTAGAAAGTTCCCTGTCTGCCAAGAGTCTGTATTGTATTGTTCAGTGTTCGCTGTGGCAGCCTTTTTCGTGTCATCTTCAAAGATGCAAGGCCCAATTATACCTAGCTTTGAGAGAGCAACCCAAGTTGAGCATTTTGTAGATTGCAATGGCCTTTGAAGCACTGGGTATGTGAATTAATCAATATACCTTAAAATGAATTATATACTTAATCATTATACTAAAATGAATTGCTTAATCATTGCACCATCAACAATTAAAAACTTAATGTCGCAACATAAAAATGAATAACTTAATCGATGCACCATAAACTTAATCAATGTACATGTAACTTAAAAGTGAATAACTTAATTCATGCACCATTAATGTAATTAAGTAATGTACCGTAAAGTGAATTAATTAATCAATGTACCTTAAAATGACTTACTTGATCAATGTACCTTAAAATGAATTGCTTAATCCATGAACCATTAAAATGAATTACTTAATCAGTGCAAAATAAAAATGAATGAATTAATCACTGCACCATAAAAATGAACTACTTAAGAAATGTACCATTAAAATGAATGTACTTAATCGATGCACAATAAAAATGAATTATTTATCAGTGCACCATAAAAATGAATTACTTAATCAATGCACTATTAAATTGACTTACTTAATCAGTGTAACTCAAAAATGAATTACTCAATCAGTGCACAGTGAAAATGAATTACTTAATCAATGCACCATAAAAATGAAGTACTTAATCAGTGTAACTTAAAAAATAATTTACTCAATCAGTGCACCTGACCCCTTATGATAAGTTTACACATATTTCCATGCTTTCATGATAAATAATGCATACATATTCTGAAAGGTAATAGATTAACCTATGTACAACTGAAGTCAGAATGAAAAAAGTAATTGCTAAGTAATTGCAAAATGTATCTTGGACCCCAAAAACCTTTAGAGGGTGTAAAAAACAAAAAAACATTTAAGGGTTAATCAATGTAACTTAAAAATAAATTACTCAATTAGTGCACAATGAAAATGAATTACTTAATCAGTACACCATAAAAATAAATTACTTAAAGAGAGAATCAGATATAGCGAGCAGGCTAAACAAACAATTGTTTCGATTCTAGAATATTCTTGGCCTATGTCATTCCTTGTCATTTCTATTTTCTAAAAATCACAAAAGTGCATACTTTATTCCAGGAAAACTAACGATTTTTACAATAAAGTATTATTTTTCTATAAGAATGGTTACCATTATTATTATTTTGGAGAATTTAAACATTTTTCACCCATTGTTGCACTTTGAATCATTAATAACCTCACCAATTTACAACATATTGTGAATCTTTTGAGAGGTATTGTATTTGATATTGTAACAAATAGATTGGTAGGTCAATTATACACGTTGCTTGTAATTTTGTCATCCCCCTATAGATCAGATTCTGCCTTTAATCAATGCACCATAAAAATAAAATACTTATGTATATAAATTGCTTCATCAACACCATAAAATTAATTTCTTAATCAGTGCGCCTCAAAGTAACTTTCAATGATCGCATCTCAAAATTAAAACCCTTGAAAATACTATATACGGTTTAAGCGCCATGTAAAAGGTTATCTTAAAAATAAAGTGGTTCAAAATGAAAGAAAACAAAAACAAAAGCTGTTTTGGCTATCTTTTAAACCTCATTGCTTATTATGTACCCAGCAGTATATATATATATATGTATAAATGGATTGCCCTTAATTCTCATACAGCTGTATTTATTCTCAACCGAGTTTACCAAAACGTTTTATTTTATATAATAAATACTATAATCAGCGAGGGAAGGCGATACCATGACGTGTATTCACCGAATTACGCCATGCATATGCGCAATGAAAATAATCCCAGTCCTGTATTTCGCTCGTGCTTTATTACCCTCAGTCGATCAAGTCGCAACACTTTGGACCACACTCAAGAATCATGGTAAGTTTGCACAATGTAAACTTGGGTATTTCATAACTTGAATAATGTTTATAAATAAAGTATACTATATTGAAGTACTTATTTGCATTAATTCTTATTTTCAGCCTCTTTTCAACATATCTGGATCCCAATACCTTGGTAAGTATTTTATGTTTTAATAAAAATCACGTTTTCGGTATATCAATCAGTCGTCCATTTCAGTTTTACTGTTCTCTAGAGTAAGAGTTATTTTTCAATGTACACACGGTTTTGCAATTTGGTCAAATTCATTGTTCATTAATGCCTGGGTCACATATGCTCCGATTCATCGGCCGGTGCCCGGTCGATTGAGTGTTTTGTTCAATATTGTATTCAATTTTGAACAAAATACTCAATCGGCCGGGCGCCGTAGTGAAAATCGGAGCAAATGTGACCAAGGCATAACAATTTTGACGGTCCAGGTCATTGTTTATATCTAGTTCTAGACAATATTTTTATTCTATTTCTACTTCTACTATTTTTCTGAATGTGAAAAACTATATAGTGAACCATTTATTTATCTAATTTTATTTCATTATTTTATACAATAAAACAATAGCGCCACAACCATGACAACGACCTATAAACACTGAACTAGTGAAAAATTCAATAAATAGAAAGCTAGTCATACAGAACATGAAACGAATGTATATTTTTGATTTAATCTAATGTAAATGAAAAATATTGATGAATAAAAAATTAAAGTCATTTTCTTTTCCATACTAATAATACACCGTATTTTAGGTCTGTTGAAATTCTTCAACAGCTACCAAAGGAACAACGTGCTTGGCAAGCAAGAGTTGAGAGCCATCCTCAGTCGTAGAGACATCAACCCAACCGACAGTGAGCTCCAGCAGATGATTGACAGTATCAGTGTTGAATGTAAGCATACAATCATACACACCCTCGATAAGTTTCAAATGGCAATTAAAGGACCAATATCAATTTTATGCATGTACAAACCCTAGATAGTAGATTTTGGCAGCCAATAGCATTCGATTATACATGTACGAAACCTTAGCTTGCATACGGGAATGCAAATAACGACTACCGGCTTTCTGGTCCAGTGGCAGATCGTATCCCCCCTCCTATAGTGGGCCCAGAAGAATTTTTTTATTTTTGGGCCCTAAAATTTTGCAGGGCCTTAAAAATGGGCCTTTTTGGGCATAATTTGGCCTTTATAGGCCTTTTTGGCAGATTTATCAAAATTAATTAAATTATTAATTAATTATTAGCCTTAGTTTTTCAAAAGGGCCTAATTTTTGGTTTATGCAGTGGTCACATATGTTCCGATTTTCAACACCGGCGCCCAGCCGATTGAGTATTGTGTTCAAAAATATACAATTTACTATCACAATTTTGAACAAAATATTCAATCGGCCGATTGCCATAGTAAAAATAGGAGCAAATGTGACCACGTCATTAGTAGTCCATGGTATGACTTCCGAATATATACGATCCGTAGAAAACTATAGCGCAGCACTATTTGAAGCAATATTTAACGAGGTGCATATGTCTTGATTTTTTAAATGCCATTTGCAGAAAAAACTTCCGGCTTTCGGGTCGGAAAAAGTATTTCACCACAAGGGGTCAAAAACGTAAATATTTTGATTCGAACTTTTATACATTTTATAAGCCACAGACCGTTATGTTAAGAATACGGACGAAAAAATAGATTATCATAATGTAAAAATTTACTATAATTTCACTGTAAATGTCGGTGTTTAATACTTGCAATCACAAAAATGTGCTTTTCAGAGTTTGTTTGATTTTTCAAATACGAGCCAAGCAGATTCAACAAAGCTGTATGCAATATTTAAGTAATTTATGATTGCGAACATAATAGTTTTTTTTACCAATTACAACATTTTATTACCAGAATGTATCCATATTATCGCAAGGGGTCAAACAACCAATTATTGTTCATGTTTTATAAAACATAATACAATAACAAATAGGTAAGATTCAAATCTAATTAGATGTAACAGAGGTATTGGAACATTGACATATTCTAAGGGAAGGCCTATAATCTATTTGAATCATATGCAATCGAACGCCTTACGATTCTTCCTCGACGTCACCGCTGGCTATTATCAAGTTAGCTGATAGTCGTTTCATCTTTGACCTTACTGCTGGATATCATCAAGCTTTAGGAAAATAATGATAACGTTTTTTCTCAATGATTCATGAATTCGACCAAGTCTTGATGGTTGTTTTATAAGCAACTGAGCAATATCTTACAATGAGAATTAGAATTTTAGCTGTTGTCCCAATTAGTCAGAGAACAGCAATAGGCCATCGTTTTACTGCGGAATAACAGTTCATATCTCAAAACGTATGGAGACCCATTTTGTGAAAAACTAGCATAATTTAAGCATTTGTTATTCTAATATAAAAGTAATCTATTTGTACTATTTATCTCATTAATATTGGAGAAACAATACAAAACGTTGACGCACTGATTACATAAGTCTTTGTATTGATGAGAAAAATAACTTCAAACTTATAAAATTAGAAACCTAGATCATATATTTGAAATCATTTTGTATTATTTTCTGTCGCATTGTGTACTCCAAATTGTGAAAAAATGGAAATTTAGTTTTTGGTAATTTTTGACCTCTGCTAATGACAGGCATAATTGAGCCTAAAAGCCGGATGTAAAGTAAACGGTTATAAAAAAATTAGTAGGGAACATATGTAGGTACGTTTATATTAGGTCAAATATCGCTGCGCTATAGTGTGTTACCAGCTCCTTTATTAGACGTCCTAGAGATTTCATACCATGGACTATAGGGCCCAAAATATTTTTAGACTCCACCCGCCTTGTTAATTGCTGAATCCGCCACTGGGGTTGATTTCAGTTTGAGGGCAAACAAACTCATTTAAATATGAATATTACCTACAGTGCTTCCCGGTATAGCTGCAACCACTTGTTTCAAACCCGGTCGCTGGCCAAAATAACGGGCTAATCTGCCTATTTAGCAGCATGTAACATTGACCTATGTTCTGTTTGCCAAATCGACTGAGCGGCTTTATTAGAATCGATCCTTTCATTGGCATGAAAAGTCATGTGATCATTGATCACTGTTCGTCGACCGACACGGGTTGTTCGTAATTACAGCTTTGGCGATCCAGGAGAGCCCAAAATTTGGGATTTTCGAGACCTTTCACCATAGCTCATATTTCATCTTATTGGGGAAATAAAACTTGTGTACCTATACCTGTTCCAATATCTGCTGTTAAAGATGCAACAAGTAGTGCAGTAATCACTCATCAAATCCAACGATCCGGCCTGGACCAGTGTCAAAATATATTCAAGTTTGGATATGTCATCAAAACTAACATATATCTTTATTATCTCAAAAGAAACCCCCCGGATGAACATTATTTCAGCTGATATTCCTCTTAAAACGTGGTGGGACTACATATAAAGAAGCTTTGAACTGTATTTATACTTCTTAATGCTGAAATATTGTAGTTTATCAATATCCATACATTTTAAGAAAATAGGTATGTCAAAGAAGATGTTAAGCCAAATGTTGCCCTGATAGCCCAGTCGAATTTTCTCTCCACAGTTGTCCTTTAACAATGCCTATTATCAGATTATGTAATATATTGATATTAAGGTAGATGATTACATGATAACCATCACACCTATTGGCAGTTATAACTCTTTTTAAATAGTATTTATTGCATGAATAATATATTACAATTAACAAAGTGTAATAATGTCAATCGCCCTGAGGTATTACAGACATATTCACAAATAGTCACCTGCACTTGCCGTCCAAAATGTCCCTACCTGTAGGGATATGGCAAGGAAAAAGTGTATGAAAATGACCTCAGGACAATCACAAGCCTCGAAAGTGAGATCATCTGTATCATTCAGGCCATACCTGCTGAGGAATGCATTCGGCCCATTGACAACTGTGCAGATTTGCCTACAACGCAATGATGGCCAAACTTGAAGCATGTTATTCAAAGTGCTGTAAAATTGTGACTATCAGTCTGATGGTCATGCAATTTGGTAGGGTGGTTGAAAATTGAATGATGTACAAATGTTTGAAATATCAGTAAGGAGTAATAAGTTAAAATGACAAAGATATTAGGAAAATACAGGGTTTCCATTTTTTGACCACCCTGTACATACAGGCAATAACTTGATTGGAAAATAAATGTAAAAAAGAATTAAAAATGTGATAAAATGAATGAGTATGAACAATGACATGATGATGGTGAAGGTGACACTAGGACATGACAATGGTGTTTACAAAGTCTGATCAACCTCTGTTTGATGATTCTATTAAATCTGAAATTGCGTGTGCCAGAGATTCATTTGTTTTGAAATTCATTTTATTAGAAGTAATTTAACTTTGTTTGTCATATTCGTTTGCTTGAAATAATCAAACACATTGAATTTTGCAAGCTCTGTGAAAAGTTTGTTCTGTTGGGGCTGTATAGGGTGCAATTGAGAAGGAAATGTTTGCCGTCTTCCATTTTATTTCCACATGAACAAGCTCGGGATAAGACTGAATTAAAATTGTGAGCAAAGAAGTGAGCATTTAGAAATAAATCAACCCTAAGTCTATTTAAGGCGATTTCTTTCTTTCTTAAGATCAGCATTTTAGTAGTTGGAATGATACATGTATATATATTTTCATCTTGAATGGAATTCTTAAGGCGATATTTAAAATGCAAGAATTCTTTTATTTTGGAGAGATTGATCAACATTATTCCAAGAGCTCATAAGTTGGAATGATAGAGAGTTTAATAACCTGGATGATATATTTCCAGGTACCTTATAGTATCGCACTCTCCTCAACTGAGTGTTGTTATGATCAGCTAAATAGGCATTGAATACATTTGACACATATGAAGATTTCATCTTATTAAAGACTTTAAACATGCACAAGAGTTTATGTGTATCAGATGCTGGCACACCTTTGCCGGAAGGTTGGCAATGCAGTATGTTAGAGTAACCTAGTAGGTGTAAGAAAATATAATGTGATGGGCTTTAAGTGGTAAAAACAATTTTCACGGCCAAATTGGACTTCAATTCCTGCGATTTCAGGGGATACTATAAGACTATTTCATAACATAAAGGGTATAGTTGCTATTGTACTGTTTTCTACAGCTCACATTACTAGTCCAAAGACAAATAATATCCTAAAGTTATAGGCTGATATCTGTATTAGTCTTAGAAATATTGCAATTAATAGGAAAAAAATATGCAATTTTAGTCATTTTTAAGTCTCACCTATTTTATATTTGTAGCTTCCAGCAAAACATGGGAGCTTAAATAGCTCAAAATTGTTTTCTAAAAACTAATTTAAGCTTTGCTTGATATAATAATGATAATGTACTATTTATGATTTTTAATATGACTTTATAGTACCCTACCCCTGGAAAGTGGGCGTGGTCAATGTTACCATTTTGCAGCATACAGTTAAAACTTGTATTGATATAAAGCAAATCAATGCATTTAAAACATCTTCACTTATTACTTGATAATGTAATTCATTAATAACTAAAATATACGACTCTTCATATTTTATATGTACATTTTCAATTATGTAGTGTATCATAATGAAATCTAATAGGCTGTTTCATTTTCAGTGTTCACTAACACATGAAATGTAAGTCACAGTGTTTCCAAATTACCTTTGCAATGAGAAAGTACCACAAAGACTACGTAATATGAGCAGATTCAAGGTCCTAATACTAATACTTACCAATCTATCGGCGTTCAAAAATAGAGAAAGCTGTCATGAGTGCAGTTTTAACTAATTTTGAACTGAAACTGCAACTTTAATTTCTGGATTTTCTTCTTACAAACTGCACCGTAAGACCAAAAACATTAAAGGAAACCTGGTCATTGTACCACTAATAATGAGTAAAAATAATATTGGTAATATATACCAAGTATTTACTTTAATTCCAAGGCATCTGAATTGATAAATAAATGAAATCAGTACTATATTGTATCTTGGGACAAACTACTCTGTTTGAATGCAAGTGAAAGATACTTTGTTATATACAGCTATACATCACTTTAACTGAATTAACTCTTCAATTTGAAAAATGCCTGACCATCCTAAGAAAAAAACGAGGGAGGGCAAAGGGGGTGCATGGTATAATTGGTATTAAGTTGTTATAGAGTTTAAAGCTCCCACAATTTTGGAAAACGAAATGGAGAATAACATGTGAATGTATAGGACGGACTAATTGTTCTTGGAAAGTTTTGGAAAGTAACATTGCATAAAATATTTAAGCAAAAGATATGTTCCATAATAAGTATTCAATAATAACATTCTTTATAGTTGTTTTGGTCTTAAGTATATCAGTGATTATATCAATTCGGATGCTGAAGTCACTTAATAAATGATAACTAGATGTAACTCCTAGTAAGTACTGCAAGTTTCAGTTTATATAAAATACAGTTTAGATAAATTTGTCACAATTTCACCATTTCTGACTGTATTTTGCATATTTTTAGGTGATAATGGTTCAATGATTATTTGATATAACCTCCTGAAACTTGAATCCGTGCATACATATTCTTAGTGGCACTATCCCATTGCCCAGGTATTGGAAACATTGTGATTTATATTTCATGTGATAGTAAGCACTGAAAATGGAATTGTTGCATTGTGGCGGATCCCGTACAAAACAAACATCGGGGAAGAGGGGGGGGGGGGGGTTAAACGTTGATCAGTTCTGCTATTTTTGTGGCTATCGGTCATATATTACATCATTTTGTTGTAGATTTTGTTGTCGATAAGGGTGATCCGAGAAAAACTTGGTGAATTGAAACAGCCTATTAAAATCATTATAAACATTGTACTAAATTGAAAGCGTATATTTAAAAAATGTAGAGTCCAAAATTCTAGTAATAAATGAATTACATTATCAAGGAACAATTGAAGATGTTTTAAATGCATTGATTCGCTTTCTATCGAAACAAGTTTTTAACAGTATGTTGCAAAATCGACCACCATCGACCACGCCCAGTTTCCGTGAAAATCACCTTATATTTTCTTACACCTACTAGGTTACTCTAACATACTGCATTGCCAAAAGTTACTTCTCGCGACCTTCCGGCAAAAGTGTGCCAGCATCTGATACAATGGTAATTTCTCCTAGATTCAAGAGTCTTCCAGTTCAGGATGTCAAAAACTTTAAATCTTATCATCAGATGGGCTCAGATCATAGAATGTACCTCATAATATCAGAGCATGTTTTAGGTGAAACAGAAAGATGCTATGAGCATCAGAATAGTTTAATTTTTAGAAATTAATAATATGATCTGGTCGCTTTTCGCATTCGTGAATAAAAGCTTATACGTTTGGCAACCAGTAGACATTACATTGTGGATAGGACCATCACTATACATCAGTATTTTTGTTTTCAGATTAAACATATTTTATGGTGTCACAAAGCACGAACTTGAATTTTGTGTTTCATCAAACGATTTAAATTAGGCTTGTTGGACTGTTCCAGCGTCTGGCATAGGCTTCCAAGCGTTCGTCGACTACATCAGCGAGTGTCCAGGACTCCGTGACCAGGAGAAGGACTACTCTGCTGCTTTCAGCATCTTTGACCGCACTGGCAATGGAGAAATAAACCGTGGAGAGCTTGCCATTGTTCTTGTAAAGATGGGCCACCGATTCACAGAATCGGATGCAATCCTCGAAGCCTGTGACAAAAATAAAGACGGGAAGATCCAATATGATGGTATGTAGGACAATATGGCATATTACATATAGGTTGTTTATATACGTATAGTAGTATAGTTCAGTATTTAGTATACAGTAGTATACATATTTGGTCCGAGGGCCATACACGAAGTCCAACTACCCAGAGAATGTCCTGCAGGTAGTTTGAAAAACATGTAGGTTGGAAAAACATATTTTGATGAAAGCAAGATTACAATTATCAGAGTGGGCCATAGTCTTGAGGTTAAGGTAAGCGTCGGTAGCCCATTTTACGTAGTTTGTTATTGCACTAAGCGGTATTTTACCTGTTGAGGGCTTGCGATACGCTACCTATAAATTGTAAGATAGGTAATTTGAAAAAATATATTTTTATCCAACTAATTATGTCATTTGTAGATCAAATATCATTAATTTAACTTTAATAGTGACAAAAAACGTTTCTAATTCTATCTGCATAGAAATGAAATGGCCTAACACAACCATTGATACGATAAATGATGTCATGTGATGATGCATAAAATTGTTGAATTGACACATTCTTCATCAATTTTGCTTATTGTAAATGTACGAAATTCATCATTTTCTAGTGGTTTTAATTGGTTAAAGGGACAATATCGGAAATCGGGAATAATTCCTTAGAAAAACTTCAAAATAAATCGTTGGTGCCTCAAACCTGCCCCTAAGAATGGCTACGACGTGAACTTACTTTTGTCAAAATACCGGAGCCTGAAAAAAATCACTCACCTAGATATCAACGAAAGAAGTGTCAGTTTCGTTCGACTGTGAGAGCAAAATTGAAGCTGAGCTAAACGGTTTTCGTTTGTCGTAAAATTGACCTCATTTAACTGCGCCATCTGGCGAATGAATCATTGTTTCGTGTCATATGATTCGTTGTTTTGTGTCACGTGACCTACCTTTAGACCTTTTGCCACCTATCGTAAGTTAATCGAATTAAAATGAAATTTTTCGATCCAAGAAGAAAATTTGCACAAAAATTATAAACCCCGCTTGACATAATCTTTGTCACTCTATCGTCTTCTTGATGAGGCACATCGGAACCTGGGATTAATAGCCATTCAACCAAGCCACAGAAAGTATGTATATTAGTTGTTCAACATGTTCAATTGTGTTAATATTTCCCGGAACTCGGCCTTTAATTCTACTCATTCGTCGCTCTCATTGCTGAATCATGCTAGAAATTTAGCATTTCCCATCCAGTAACTGCCCCATTAGCAACATTCCCCCCACCTACAGTAGCTACATCACGCTCTTTCTGAAATGCATAACAGTTCTTGGTGGTGGTATTACTGGCAAATGACATAAAAGTCACTGCACGGTTATATCCTATAATTACTTAGGATGTCATCCAATTTTATTCTAAATCCAGGGTGGCGATGCCATCATTTGTGGATCTAAGTCCGCTTATGCTGCCAACTAGGCCAATGGTTGTTTATTTGGTAGAATAAGCAAGTGCCAAAATGGGGAAAATCTAATGAACAAAATTCCAGTACATATCAGTTATGAAAACAATAGGAACTTAACATTAAAGGGTAACTTTTGTGCATTAATATTTCTTGCATCACTCCTCACCGCCAAACAACAACGACAACTGTAACTAAATAGAATATTCATGATGTTTTCCGTTGGTGCCTAACTGGTTCCACTTTAACTTTATAAACTCCAATGAAAACTAATCGCGTTTTTATTTTCATGTATTTTCAGAGTTCATCGAAGTTATGAAGAAAAAGCTTTAGATGGCATTGATGTTAGACCGGTGGCACTATGTTACTGAATGAACAGTTTTGGAAAGGATACTGCGTACTTTTATTTTAGATTGAAAGATCAATTCGTGCTTTACATATTTAATGAAATCATCATAGTGTCGATCAATTACTGTCTAATGTGACACGTGTGTTTTGAAAATTGTTTTGTTGAATAAAATATCATTTTCTTCTTGAAATTCTCGATAATTATGTTACGTTCATATTACTTCACAATCCTAACGGTGTATTACAATGCGCCCCCAAAGGTTTGGCAGCCGAGATGTACCATTTTGGACCACAAGTTTAAACCCTGTTTACACTATTATATTTGACAATGCTAAAAATCAATTTGCGGTTAACATGCTATCCAAAATGCGACTGGTATGGGATTTTTTGACATGCTATCTTGATTTTCTTGGCACTCACGTGTAGTACTCACATATGTATTTAGTTGATATTTTTCATATTTTTGTACCTTGCAATGATACTCTGGAGCTACTTTGTACGAACTATCAGTACATTTAGCTTATCAGTTGCCGAGAAAATACACCACAATGGCATACTAAGGAATCATCGAGGGCTTAAAAGGAACAAATGAGGGCTGTCTAAGCACCACCAGGGCATACTGGGGAATCACTAAGGGCTATTAAGGAACCAATGGGGATTATTAAAGAACCACGGTACTGGTGGCATACTAGGAATCACTAACTAGAAAAACAGCAACTCCACGGAGTAGTAAACCCCAAAGAACAAAACATATTTTGATAATTGGTGGCCATCTTGAAAGTTTCTTCTTTATCAGACCATATCAGCATATAAAATTTGAACCTAATCCACCCACTGGTAATCAAAGATTTTTTTCTGAAAAATGATGGCCATTTTGAAATTCATCCACCATCTTGAAAATTCTATCTTCAACAGGGCTACTGTGTCCCTAAGCATTAGCATATAAAATTTGACCCAAATCCGTCAACTGGTAAAGATTAATTATTATTATTAAAGATTGTGTTTTTCCGAAAAATGGAGGTCATTTTGAAAGTCAGCGCTATCTTGAAAATTCTCTCTCGGAGAGAGCTACTGAGTCATAAGGCATCGTCATATATAAAATTTGAACCAAATCCGTCCACTGGTATTTGAGTTATCAAGGATAACTTTTTTTTATGAAAAATGTCAGTAATTTTTAAATTCAGCCGCCATCTTGAAAATTCTTTCTCAAACAGAGCTACTGTGTTAAACGTCATCATATAAAATTTGAGCCAAATCCGTTCATTGGTATTTGAGTTTTCAAAGATTACGTTTATTTACGAAAAATAGCAGCCATTTTGAAATTCAGCCTTCATCTTGAGACTCTCTCTAACATACCTACTGTGTCCCGAGGCATCATCATATAAAATCTGAACCAAATCTCTTCACTGGTACTTGAGTTATCATAGATTACATATTTTACGTAAAATGAACGCCATTTGGAAATTCAGCCTCCATCTTGCAATTCTTTCCCTAACAGAGCTACTGTCTCCCTATGCAGCATCATATAAAAATCTGAACCAAATCTGTTCACTGGTATTTTAGTTGTTATCATAGATTACGTATTTTACGAAAAATGGCCGCCATTTTGAAAATATCTTCTTGAGCGAAGCTCCTTTGTCCTTAGGCATCGGCATATAAAATTTGAATCAAATCCTAAAAATACACTTCAAATAATATTATGTTCATTTCTGGCGTGTTAACCACTACACTAGCTTGTTATTTCACATCAATTCGAATGAAGATATATGGAATATGCTACCATCGATTAAAACATCACAAAGACGTGTTATATTCGAAAACTAGCTGGTAAAAAAACAAATTCGGTTGTATGGGCGACCTTCGGCTGCATGGCATCAATGGCCCAACTTCGGTTGAATGGAAAAGGTGCTGTCCCATTTTTAAATATTTGAATTCCGGCCATATATTCTCTACATCATAATAATCAGGCAAAGTCAAATTTATTCAACCATTCAATCTATGATTTTCTTAATTTTTCAACACAAAATAGGTTAGGATGTATATTATGCATTGGTGTCAGTTATTATGTTTGTGCGTGACAGCTAAAATTCTATTTGAAATAAATTCACAAGTCTTTAAGAAAAGTCCTTCGGAATCAATTTTTTAAATTTAAATAAGGTACCATTGGAAAGAGTGCATCAAAATAACAAGAAAATGTAGTGTCCAAATGCGTTAAATATTTTCCTTGAGTAAAGATATAATTCTATTTATATGTATTCCTTAAAATTTAAAAAATAGTCAAAATCTGACTATTATGACATCACAATAGCAATATAATCATTTATTTTAACTAATATAGTCCAGAGAATCACTATCAATTGTTATTTACAATTGATTTAATGCCCAAGAATATCGGGCGCGAGTGGATTGATTACGATAAATATATTGACTGATGGAATAACGCTTTTATAAGTGAATTTACGACAGCAGTTTCTATGCTGTGATAATGTCCCCAACTTTAATGGTGCCACACACATCTACACCACAAAATGTCCCCAATGCTGGCAAATCAGCCATTATTTTGGCCTCGTCATGCAGCGTTGCCTTAAATTGCGTAGCTTGTCTATATCTACAATGAAATAGAATTAAAATATATCAGGAAATGGGGCCTTTAAACAGAAACAAATTAATTATTTAATCAATGTACTGTATGACCGAAAATTTAGGGAATGTAACTCCAATACTCTTATTGCTTTAGATATTGCCCTATTTTCGATAATAACTCGTTGCCTTAGAAACAGGACTCTGCAACATCGTTCCTACAAATATTGTTTTATCATCTTTCCGTTGGTACCCAGTTATTTCATGTACCGGGTTTCGTGGCTAGTCAAGTATTGTAGAAAGAGTAAATATGGAGAAATTAATTCTTTTTTAAATCTTAGTATATATACTGTACATACTGTAGCAACTTTTTCCCTGGTTGAAAGTTATTGTTGCGAGCTCCTGTTGTAGAATTCACATTTGGTGCTATACATCTGAAAGCAAAGGCGTGATTTGAATAAAGAAATAAAGATATTGGTATATCCGAATTCGTTTTCGATTGATGTTGTTTTTTAACACAATCCATAGAATATTGATTTCTCGTGGTTTTAAATAGATTTAGAAATGATATAAACTGGGAACTTCTATTTTGAATTTATAATTCTAAGGGTGCCCTATTATACATTACCAACAGGGGAAAATATCACAGTATCCTTTTGAAATCTCTCGAAAGGTTAAAACAATTCATCACCTTTCAATATAAATCTCTAAATGATGTTCTCCTTAGAATATTTGTCATTTTCTTTTACAAATCTAATGCTAAATATAATATGTGTGGTGGCAATTGGAATCAAAATTAGGTCAATATTTCCTTTTTAATTAATTATGTTCACTAGCACATGTCCATACACTTAAAATGACATAATCTTTAGAAAATGGTTAAACTGGGTCTACAACACATGTTCATAGTAAAATGGTAAAAACTACAAATCAATTTGTTAACAACATTGCCAACGCTATCACGAGGAGGTGGCGCCATTGTAATGTGGAAGATGAGAGCGAGATGAGAGATTCCAAATCAAAGTTAAATTCCATTGCATAATATATACCAACATGACAAATAATTGGCATGTTCATAAGTCGTATATTAGATCATAAGGTATGTAAAGTATCAAGGGAAATTACAATAGTATTACTTCTAAAACCTTGTGAGATTTGCTTAAAAGAATTATAAGCAATGTTGTACTTTTCAGGGAGTTCAAAACACTAAATTATCTTTACTTATTTTTATTTATTTATTTATTTTGACATACGCTTTTTTAACAGCGGCACGCTATTATTAGGTGCGTCAGTATTTGTAATCTACATATATATTTTATAAGCACTAAAAATGTTTACATAAAATACTACAGTTTTCTAGGCTTAAAAAGTGCTGCTAAAAACATCTTCACATATTTATCAAACATATAAAAAATGTCATGCCCCCATTCCATAAAAACCTTATCACCAAGTAGTGTAATTAACCTATCATGAATGTTCGAATACAATAAACTGCTACTTAAAATGGGAGAAACATATTTCTCTACGTCGTTGTAAAAGTCGGACCTGGCTTTGGCAAAATGGGGACACACCATTAATCTGTGTGATAGAGTATCTCTCAAATTAAGATTACACATTATACATATGCCATCACTTTTGCCCCACTTTTCATAATTTGTCTCAAGGCAGAAATTATTAGATCTTGCTAGAAATTTCATTTTAGATCCATAAAAATCAAGGTCATTCTTAAGGTACCTTTCGGTGCGGTTATGGGTTTTAACCTCCTTATATATTTCAAGGGAGGGGTGTTCAGCTACCCTAGTGTGGAAATTATAAATGCTTTGGGATTGAGATATAGTTAAAAATGAGGGGTACCATTCGCTGTCATTCCGAAAAATAACATCATCTAAACCTTTATCTCTTAAAATATTCCGTGCATTTGATGCAAATTTCCAATATGATTCTTTGCCGACTTGTTATAATTTTAGCAAATTCTGTAGGATTTTATGAGGGAGGGATGTACTTGGTACATTAAAATTTAGGTAGTTCAAATAGTCAATTTGTCTTTTTTCAATCACCTCTGCTATCGGTTTCCAGCCTAAATCCCCCTGAACACAATCATACATGTACTTCATGTGTACTGTTATTTTTAGTGCTGTATTTATATATATAATTTCACGTATTAAAATCATATTTTCCAGCAATGACTTCAAATTCGGAACAACACCCATATCACATTTTCTTCAATAACTCCAAACATGTGTAAACATTGACCATGTGCATATAAATTCAGATTTCACGAGCTCTTTCCTATTCGAGTACCTCATACACCCCTGCATGGATTTGAGTTGGATTCGCCTTTTATACGTGAGCCGACACACTCGCAAACGCTGATTGGATAAAGATTGCGAGAATCTTTAAGTCCAAAATTATTAGTGATTGTTAACATTGACTGGAGTTCTTTCTCAGATTGAACCATTAACACAATGTCATCGGCATAAAGAAGACAGGGGATTTTTTATCTTCAAAGGGCAGACCAAAACTGTCTTCAAGGTCTGTCATTACTATGGAAAAAGGGTCGGGGATAAAATACAACCTTGCTTCACTCCAGATGAAATGTCTAGTAATTGAACATGAAGCGCAAGTGCCAACGTAAAATGAAACAATGTCTTATTCCCATCCCCTCACCATTCAAGTACTAATATCACAATCCAAGACCATAATACTAAGGGACATTTCACTCATACTGAAGTTATTCCAATACAGATTGAAGAATAAATTTAGAATTGATGGTCAATACTCAAGGCTTCAAAAATAGCTGTGGACACTATGACTTTGGAGAAACTGACCTTGGACAGACAGAACACAAATGTATCTTTGTCTGATCTCCTATGTAGAAAACATCCCAAAAGTCTTCCGCATATGGCTCACATCCCTTTACCATCAAATTCATTCTAAAATTGGCGTGAGTTACTTTGTCTTCTTCATCTAATCTTTTGTTTAGATCAAGAATTGACTCTTGAGATACCATACTGATAGGAAAACAATCATTGAAGGTGGCCTGAAATGAAAAATGTAATATATCTTTGAGGTTGATTTGTTTTTTGAAATGTTGTTCATTTCTTAAAACCTAGATTATGATTAGATAAACATAATGCATCTGATATTTTGCTGTGTCAGATTGCTTCATCATTCATAGCCACGAGGTGCATCTGGTAATATTAGGGTTTCAAAATATCGGTGCCAAAAATTCTCTATGTGGATTGAAGTTGATTGGATGATATTATATAAATAAACGAAAAGAACAGAATTTTACTCAGGAAATTAATTTAAACTTTACCATATCCCAAGGTTTCGAATATTGTTCAACATATGATCTGAATCCAATTATATCTCGTTGAATAAACACCTCTTGTTCATAGAAGTAGATCACCCGCAAGTTGGTTTTGTTCAGATATTCATTAAACCAATTCGCTACAGTATCTCCACAATCCATTCCTATGTTGTCCACAAAGTAGTTTCTGTTAAAAATGATGGTAATGTAAATTTGAATCATACAAGGCTCAAGAAGCACTTTCTGCATCAGATGACGTAATTGATTAAATTCACGATTCGTGGGATGGAGAGAAACATGACAATGTCGTTTGTCAATTTTAAATCGATATTAATAATTCTACTATTTCTCTCAGCTTACTCTCTTAAAGTCGTTTTTTGAAGATATATGACAAAGAATTATGTTGGTTTAATCAAATTTATTAACAAATACAAATTCCTTCAAAAATAACCAAGACATTTGATTGTTAATATCCAAAATAGTTGCAGATGTTCCTTTCACATCTTACTTTCAGTCATTCCAGATAGTAATGCCCCAATCAGTTTTCAGAAAATGATAAAAATAAAGTTTCTCCGTTTCACGTCATACCTTGTTATTTTATGAGGTTATATGTTTACAGCATAATCACGGGGGATAAGCAAAACGAGGGCGAAGCCACGGACTGCGACTCGCGTAACTTTACACCGCAGCCCAGCGCCAAAATGGAGGGACATCCGGCAGTGCCCTTCTGCTTCTTCCGACAAAATAGAGAAATCCAGGTATTTTAAATGCTATCGTAGTGTCTAATCGGTGACCAAAATATTACTCTGTATCTACTGTTGGTCTGTAGATAAGAAAATAAGCAGTTGTCCAGATCAAGCTAAAACAGTAGCAAAGTTCTGATTTTACCTGTAAAATATGTGCATATTATTTAATTTACTATACATTTGAAAGGAGTTTTAACACGTTTCTGATATCTAAAAGTTAGTTGAGGCTCTGAGTATAATTCGTGAAAATGATTTGATAATAGAATGTGTTCATGAGGAGAAAATTAGATTCAAACTGCGCATTCATAGTGGACGCAGTCCAGTAAACAAAGCTATTTCAACAACGCAACACAGCCTCCATTGATATTCTAAGCAACGCAGTCCAGCCGCGAACACGAAATAAATAAGATAGTGTAAACTATATTCCTACGCTATTATTGTTTCAGGAAAAGAAAGTCAGCATCCAGATTATCATTCAAAGTTACGTTGATTAACATATATCTATTACCTGAATCAATGTCCCAAATTGCTATATTGTATCGTTTAAGACCTAGAAATATGGCAATTCAATAGCGTATTTGGCAGAACAGTCGAGCGCAAGATGACAACGTAATTATGTTTAATACAAACCAATTTGTGGATAGGGTTAAATATATCTATAGATAATTGGATAGTGGTGAGACTTTTTATAAGAAGTAGAAATGCGAAACAATTAACTTTTTGATGATGCAAAGCTGTTGGGGAAGGGTACATTAACTAGTATTTAAGATATCAGGAAAATATCAAATAATTGGAGAGTTGGTGAGTTAATGTAATTTTGGATGATCTTTCCAACAGTCAATCAATATTGCTAGCTACCATAAATTCATGATTTCAGCTGTATTTGACAGCTTGTATATATTTGCAGAATGGATTGAGACACGATGTAGGTCTATTAAAATAGCCCTTTATATTCAATTTTGTCCAAAGTTGCTCCATTTCGGCCACACCTGTACACACATTGTGCTATCTACCTTTGGCTGTGATTGCGTTCAGCTTCAGATATAAAGCAACACTGAGTCGCGGACTGCGTTGGGCAGATGGATGGACTGCGACTATTATAAATTCCAATTTTCTATGTAATTGTACGTTTTCCGCTTACCAAATATCACACGAAGATGTAATTGTAACAACAGAACATGAATATTTATATTAATTCGATGTCATTTCTGATTCCTTTGTTTAAATCGGTATATTAGGGACAAATATTGACAAAATTACATTTTTTGTGGCAGATTTCGAATTCATTTGTGTTCATGCTAAACTATTGGGCAGCCGAGCACCAAGAATGCCATTGCAGGTGGAGTATGAATATGTTGATCACCGACTGGAACATACTAGCTATTGTGTAGAATATCCAAACCAATAATCTACCCCAAATCCTAACATGCCTTCCAAATTAAGTTTGGACTTACCGCCATTGTTCAGCTATAATGCGTTGTAACCTCGTTTTGAATTACGCGAGTCGCAGTCCGTGGCTTCGCCCTCGTTTTGCTTATCCCCCGTGATAATACTAAAAAATGGCTTTTAAACTCTATTGGTTTCGTAGTAATTTTGATTTGAAATATGTGGTACACATTTACAGTTTTGTGCCATTAAAATTACGCTAAAGGCAGCATCTTAATTGATTTGAATGTTTTTCTACCTTAAAGTACAGACATTAGGGTATTGATACTTATCAGGAGAATTAATGATAGTTGGCTTTTGAACTTTTTTGCTCAATTACAAATATTTTATGTTTTTGTCCTTCAAATTGTAATTTCCATAATGTTTGTCAGTCATTCAATCATTAAGTGTGAATCTTTTGTGACCATTGCATGCCTCAATGTAATATTATAGTTTTTAGCAGAGCAAAGGAGTATATCTCTGCATTGTTAAACACTAATATTGGATACTGCCATGGTTATCTATTTGTAAAAAAATCAAACATTGAACATGCCTATATTGTAACGTAGATTAATTGCTGGGAGCTGACATTTTCAATTTCAATCAGTTGTACAATATAGTGGTTTCCAAAGAATTGACTTGGTCCGTTTTATATATAAGAGAAACTCATTTTATGAAAACACACTAATATTATAATAATTTAATAATATAAGTTCATGTCAAATATAGCATTTGAGTACTATATTTGAACGAATGGTAACGTTGATTAACGTCTTAGAACATCAGCTTCATGTGTCATTAAATCTGATCAAGAAGACATTACAATGAAAAACCAAACCAATCATTACATATTGTGAATAGTAATGGTGCTACATGAACTTGGTATAGACCCCTGGCACTGAATCAGCAAATGGCAACGCTTGTTAAGAAACTGTAAAGTCGTCATTAGATAACGAGAGCAAATATTGTTCAGTCTATGTAAAACTTAAACTTCTTATAACAACTTTATCACTTAATTCAACATCTCTAGAGACGTCGCTAAAACAGCACTGTCAACGTGAACTAGTAAATGTTTACAATAAAACGTATTTTCAAATTATATCTGTCCAAAACCACATATCAGACGTCATTGTCTCTTAATTCATTTTTTGGAGGCAAATAGTTCATCCTCAGTTCAGGTACATTGTAATTTTGAACATTCTTGCATTCTCCCACTTGGGAATCAAATCCACTATTTAGCAAAGAACGTATGCATGTTCTACCCAGAGTACATGTTCTGGCTTCCCAGAGTACATGTTCTGGCTACCCAGAGTATGTTCTGGTGAAGGCCATTGAACATACCGCCGTCTGTTGATTTTTTTTTTTTTTTATTTATTTATTTATTAATTATCCTCATTCATTACATAACATTTACAAAATCTTCAATCGCCAAATACATGCATGGCATTATAGAAGAATTGATGGAACTTAATGAAATATAATATAAGGAGCAATGTTAACAGTAGTTTTGGGGTTGTGTGGGGGGGGGGGTGCTTGGCGTGGGAAACAGTTACTGGAGATAAAAGATGTTTAAGGAGGGAAAATCATATATTGGCTTTTATAAAGGAAGCTAGCCTGGTCATCATTTTCGAATTAAGTTCGATAGAGATTTCAGTTGAGCCATATTTCAGAACTTCAAGATATTTATGCTGAGAGATTTGCCTGTCAAAAATTTCAGGGATCAGGTTTTTCAGGTATTGATTAAATTCATCCCTGGCATGTGTCAAATGAGCACAGTGGAAAAAGAAGTGTTTAACTGTTTGTGGATGTCCACATGAACAGTTTGGGTTGTCAATATTGCTAAAGTTATGAGCATATAGTTGGGCCTTAAATAAAAAGTCGGCCCTGAATTTATTTACAATTATCTCATGGCTCCTTGTGAGGTTCAGTTTGTGATGACATTTATTGGATTTTTGAAAAGCAGTTTTTGATGTTTCTTGAAATTCTGGATAGTAGCTTTACTCTTTAATGTATTTGGCAGGGCTAACCAGTTGGAGATTGCAGAGGGTACCGCTGAATTTCTGTACCGTTCAGAGCATTTTGGTATAATGAACTCATCAGTGTTACGCAAGTTTCGAGTTTCTGTTTTTTTGAACTTATCAAATATGTCATCAAGAAATTTAGGGTTAGGACCATGTACTATTTTGTACATAAAGTTGTTTATAAACATTTTTCTTCTAGTGTCAAGAGATGGCCATTGAAGTAGCGTTAGTACTTTATCTGTGCTGCTCCCGTGAATACAACCTGAGCAGTAGATAGCAGCTTTATAATATAATCTATCGAGCCTTTAAAGTAGATATTTGGAAGAACTATTGTAAATGATGGTACCATAATCAAAATGGGGCAATATGAAGGAGTTGAAGATTGTCTCCAAATGACTAGATCCTATTATGTTTTTGAGTTTTTTAAATGGATTCACTTACATTTTTGTTACCTTATCATAGATGTTACTTATATGGTGCTTGTGTGTTAAGCAGGGATCAAACGTGAAACCGAGGTGTTTATGGGAATCAGCTCTAACTATTTCCATATTATTAAGATTAGATGGACTGATATCATTAATACGTGTTCTAGGTTTATGAAATATCAGTTCATGACTTTTTTCTGGTTTAAACTGTAGTTTCCAAGTAGTTGACCATTGTTCAATGCTTTCTAGGCTTGACTTAACAGAATCATGAACATTAGTTGGGTCTTTTGGATCAAGTTTAAAATGTAAAGAGGTATCATCAGCATAGATGTAGCACTGGCCACCCAGGTTGTCAGGAATATCATTAATGTACAAGATAAATAGAATAGGCCCTAGAATAGACCCCTGTGGGACGCCACAGTTAGTAAAATTAGTATCAGAAAGTTTTGAAGATTCGCCACCTACATTAACAAAGAATTTTCTGTCATTCAGATAGGATTTGAGTACATTGAGCAGTTGGCCTTGGATACCGTAAGATTTAAGTTTAAGCAATAGAAGATTATGTGGTAC